TATGTCTGTTGTCTATGATTATTAATGCTTTAAAATCGTAGCGCAAGTGTCTTTCTTAGTTTGTTTCAGCTTTTAGGTGAGAGTGAAGACATTCCGTTTTTCCGGATTGGTGATGAACTATGATAAATATTGATGATAATGATTTCATTTGGTATTTAACATTTCTATAGGCACATCCTCTAAGGACCTATCTATTTTTAGCTAAGATAGATTTGCGCATTTACTCATATTCACGTACTTTACAGAACTGCTATCTGAAAACTTCCAGGTTTTCTTTCAAAATCTTAGCCCAAATATTTTGATCAAGCTTTGGAGAGAGGATACTCCCAATTTCAGGAATGGCACTCGCGAGCGAATATTGTGGGTAAAGATTTGTATAGGCAGCTCAAAAAATGTTCTGCCTGGAAGAAGAAACAGGTTGAATAGGAACAATAGATACATGTTAAGAATGATTAAAGCCCTGATTTATAGTATTCTGCAGTACATGAAAACAGCAGTCAATCATCAAAAATTTTACAGGGTAAGCATTCGCGAGTATGACATCAAGAAGGTTGGTTTTGAACTTCACGAACCACTGAAGTACAGATAGAACTGTTGAGGGTCTTGGAAACGATCTCAAGAGATATATCTTCAAAACTTGACCTAAGAAGAACAAAAGCTTTCCACTCAAACTATACTAATAATGTATTTATCCAAGAAGTGCAGAGCCGACCTTCTTGTCGTTTCGAAATAAGCAAAGGTATTATTTAAATTGAAGTACTTATGTGAACTCTCTTTGCAGATAAATCCGTTGATGATAGCAGAATGGTCTACTGTCAATATATCGATGAAGTCTTACGAAATATTTACAGCCCAGTTCCAATCAAAAGCTTCTAAAGATGTTCACGAGTTACATACAACTTTTTAAGAAATTCAGGGACACATTTGGGAAACTAACATTCTGATCTGAGGCCAAAAGTTATACTTCCCCATGCTCCTGAAGATGATTACAGGCAACTACATCCAGAATAAACACCAACTGAATTGATAAATGAATCAAAGAAAAGGTATTTTTTAACATAATCTTCATGTTTCACTGACGTTTTATCCGATAAGTCAAGCTTATCAGAAAATGTAACTTCCGAAACCTATTGCAAAAAGCAGCGGTGCCCTAGAAGCGTCCACCAACTTTTATTTTATAAGAACATTAGAATGTCAAACACGTTGCTAAGTAATATTTCAACAAGAAGCGTGAGTGCTTACGGCAACAACAATTCGAGTCGAATATGAGGATTTTTGTACTTGCACGAATGTTTTTTGTTAAGAAAATATTACTTTGCATTGTGTTTTTTCGATTTTTTTTCACAGGAAAAAATTAGATTTCCGTATTTGACAAGACTATTTCATGAGTAACAGATTATTCTGCATACACATAGCTTACCCATTGAATTGTTTTTTTGAAGTACCTGCAGATTCCTACGTTGCATTACGAGCTTCTCTACTAGACTTAAAGATAATATCTTTAAATGGATCAAACATGATTTTCCAATGCATAAAATACATCTCTTGCATTTTTTGCAGTGGTCTTCACAACTAGTTCTTTGTAATTTTCACCGATTTCTTTCTTCACATTCCACGCCCAAGCTTGCAAGATTAGGTTTAGAAACTTGTAGTTTCCAAAAGCTCGTATTTCTTTGCCTTGCAGAATTCCGTTTATTGTTTCCATATTGACGTATGGGTTTTAGCTGTATTGTACGGTACACCTTTCTCAATTACCAGATCAATATTAGTCAAAGAATCACTTTCAAAGTTTCAAAGCGACTCATTTTTACTACATACTAGTACTGTTTGAAAACAATATTACAACATTTATTGACAATAAAATAAAAAAAAATCCTAAGCGTCGTTTTCTGGTGTCCTAGGAGACAATAATTACTTGTTATCAAAGGTATTATATTTTTTGGTGACAACAGCTGTCAAGTTTTGCCGCGGGTAAACTGGAAAAAAATTGCTGACAGGTACTGTCATACAATTTTTCCATCTAAGAACCAGTTGTAATTCAAAATTGCGTCTTTGCGATTGGTAGAAACTAAGGCCCGTATCGTCAGTCGTCCCTACAATTGTAGGGCGCCTTTATGGCCTCCTTGATTGTCATAGTTTTCTACTTCTCCGTGTCAGCGCTCTATTTTGAGGTTATGTCACAAACATCTATTTCCATCAAATTGTGCTTGCTTTTGAGTTATATCATGTTTTATCAGCCTGAAATTTCCTACAATTTAAAAAGAAAACATATCTTCACAATAGGAGAGCGCTGATGCTGACACGGGACAAGTGTAATCTAGAAATTTTTGAAGGAGACAAAGAAGTATGACAATCAAGGAGGCCATAAACGCGCCCTACAATTGTAGGGACGACTGACGAGACGGGCCTTAGACGAGCAAAATAGTCGTCATGAAAACCACAGGATAAGTTTCAGATGCTACAATAACACAAAAACTGGTACCTATCACGACTTGACTTGTGTTTGTTGATACAATTTACATTCATAAATAAAATTTCTCTGACTGGACTACAGAACGGTTCTTACTTGAAAAATGACCCTCCTATAAACCTTACTACAACGCTACTTTTTTTTAGGTTGATAACTGTGGCATGCTGGCGATTTCCGATTGCACAAATGAACCCAAAATTGTGGAACGACTTGATTTTTCTTCCCCTGATACAATTAATCTGAGCAGTGACGGTCGAGGTTTTCTAGGGGTTTCCCTCGCCCAAGTGCGAATGCAGTCACCAAAAAAAAACATATTCCCCTAATAAATGGTAGCGAAAATGAAATATCCTATTAATGATCATGTAATTTTGGATCAAATTGTTATTAAATATATTTATATAATAAAACATTGTTTTTTTCCCAATTGTTGGTAGAAGTCCCGTTCCGTATCCAAAAATTATTTCATCCTACAAAACTGGGCATTTATAAAAGTGGCGGCATAGACGCAATGTAAATAACAGCTAATCGCTTGACATTAATATGTGGGGCACGAACGAATTTTTGCAAAATGGTTAAGTCGATTCCAATAAATATTATAAACATGAGATATAATTGATATAAGTGATGAAAATTTATAAAAATATAAATTTGCTGAAGACAAAAACACCACCAGTCTTAATTGTCATGTTAAATAAGATAAAAACATCGTGACCTGAAATATAAATGTTATGCGTGCTTGAAACAGCTCAAAAGAAAGTTTCGACTTATCAGATATGTATATTTATTTGTTAGTAGGAGATACTATATTGTAATATCACATTCTAATGAAACTCACACTGTTATGATGTTATATGAAAATATATATGTTAGGTGCTACCCACATTAACTATAAAATTTTGTGGTACTGAATCTTAGATAATGTCATGTATATCGACTTGCTAGTGTTTCTAATAAGTATAGTATCACATTGTAATAACAATAACTCAAAACTATATGTTTGTTGGTACCTATCTATAATAAATTTGTACAAAAATATATATTTTTTTTAGTTATTTTATCATATTCATCACAACTTATCCGACAAATTTTAACCACATATGCACTGTTACAAAAGAAGTTGATTTCTCAAAAAAAATGTAATAAAAGTCCTACATAAATCAAAATAATAAAATAATACAATCTGTGTGCGTAAAAACGAGAAGTCGTACGCTGAAACAATGTCCACTAACTCCTCATTAGAATACACATATGCTATTTGTATTAATAAATAACTAAAAACATAAACTCGCAATATATTTTCTTATTTAACTTGACAAAAATCGACCGTTCTTCATTTGGATCACCCACGATACAGATTAAACCTTATTTACACGTACTTATCAGGATGAAAAAACAAAAAATTCCTGGTATTTTGATATCGTCAGTTGTTTGGTACAACATTTGCTACAATAAATTATTAATGCGTGTTCTATATCACCACGATGAACGCAAAATATTATATTATTATATTATTATTGAAACTCAGGTTTATAACTTGGTTTCTGTAGGACTTTTATTACTTTTTTTGAGTAATCAACTTCTTTCGTAACAGTGCATATGTGGTTAAAATTTGTCGGATAAGTTGTGAAACACCCTGTATACATGGAAATCTACAATATAAATAATTGTTTTATGTTTATGTGCAAATTATAGACAGGATATATAAATGATAAAAAATTAGACAACAATTAGTAAAAATACTAATTTGCATAAAACAACTCCGCCAGTCTCATGGTTTATCAGAATCACCTTTAGTATTTTGGCAAACATTGCTACGCCTCAAATTTTGTATATCTCCATTGGTATCCCTTAATATTTTATTCAAAGCTTTTGATAACGTTCTAGTAAAATAGCAGAGCTAGTAAAATTTTCCGATGAGCTAGCAACGCCGCAATCTAGATGCCAAGAAGGTCAACTGCCAAATCGTATGTTTATCCGTAACAACAGCTTCATGTACGCGCCAGTTTTCCAATCTACATTTGCATTTTTAAGGGATGTGTAACGATTTCGAGAAAAATTTCACTACGGTCACGAGAATCTAGTAGAGTATATTTCAATACTTTTCTTGCGTGGCCATGTTATCTTTACTCGGGCTTTTTTTTAACCAACTTTGTAGTGTTAACAAACACAATACTAGAGATTATTTCCTCAAAACAAAGCAGAAATTTTGATCTCGTACTTTTAAATCATAAAACTAATTTTGCGCTGAAATTTGACATGTACTTGGAGGATGGAAAAAGTAGGACCATGGTCTGATTGCTTCCGTAGACGATTAAAAACCAAGGAGTTACCAATGATCATCAGATGTAATCACGCCCTTTCTCCTAGTCCAAAAAGAAGGCGTGACAGTATAAATAAATAAGACGCGCCTTCTTTTCCAGCTTGGATTTGTGAAACCACGCCTATTCTTCTAGTGAAAAAATTGAACTAGATCTAGGGCTTTTTATTTGTCAAGCCTGGCGGCACTGACACCATGACACATGAATGACGCTTTATTTTTGAAGGTGGTTTGAAGTTTGAACCTGAACGCTTGTCGTTTTTTTTTACTTTCTTATATCGGTTGTTTACGATTATGAAATTAAAATTGATAAACCGGTACCTTTTGAAATAATTATCACCAGTGTATGAAAATGGAAGCTAACTCCAGAATACAGGTAAACAAGATGATTAAATTCAGAGGGAACTGTGCACTATCTTTCTGCGTTTCAGGTTGCTGTCCTAAAGGTACATAGCAAGGAGTTTCCTTTATATAAAGGCCTGAATGTGATAGGTAGAAATAAGGCGGCCACAGTGAATATTGTTAACTTGGTAAGCAATAGATTCATTACAAAAATACAGTCACCATAGTTCCAAAAACAGAGAGTCAAAGCCAGTCTTGTTGAGGCTCTGTATCTTGAGAATCAAGGCCTTTACTATCAGTCTAGCTTTTTTTTGTAATAATGTGTTACAGAATGTGAGCCAGAACCATGCAGTTATTATTGAGGTGGATGAAATCCAACACTACATTAGTGACATGAACTCTTCTAATGGGACACTTCTACATGGAACAAAGTTGAAGCCTCTTCAGTTATATGAATTAAATGATTATTCAAATATAGCTATTGGAAACGTACATGCTAAATATTGCAAAGTAAGCTATTCATACTTTTATCATAAAATATCTGCCTCACCACATAGAACAAAACTGTTGGTGAGGGGAAACTGCTTAAGCACCACCATGCCGATAGCATTACAACTAGTAAAAAGTAAGTAAATTCAAAAATTTACAATGCAGTTCTTGTTAGAAAGTGAAGGTTTTGAGAAGTATTGCTACTCTCTGGGATGTAATGCACCAAATAAAGAAACATACTGTCACAATTCACCAAAATGATCAAGCACTAATAAAAAAGTCAAGGACAACGAAAATCAAAAAATTTTGCTTTGTACATAGAGTAACTAAATTCTGGAATTATTTGGGATTTGAAGGAAATTATGTGAAAAATATTCAATGTGGTCATTAATATGGAGAAATAAGACTACACTTTAGCACATACAGACCATATTTTTTGTTTTTTTCAGTAAAAATTAAATCAGTAGAAACATCATTTTTCATTTTATAATAAAAAATGAAATATTTGTGATATGCACTAAAGTATTTTTTTCAGCTGAATAAAATGTGCTCAAAATACTACTTTCTTTTCAACTGAAGGATATTGTGTGTTTCCTCTCATTGTCATCTAGGCTGAAGACATATTCAACCCACTGTTGGTAATCATTACAACTAAAATTAGTGAAATTGTGAGAAAAGCTGGAAATACAAAATTCATATCAACCCCTCACCAATATCAATATTTGTATTGTGACAAAAAAATTCAAGATCTACCCCAATATGATTCACAGACTAAAAAAAACTGTCAGTTCTCACTTTCATGTGAAGAGGTATGAAAAAGTTTACTCTTGAGAGGATAAAAAGACACAAATTGTTATATTAAGGGCAGATATTTTCTTAGCACTTGAACTAGATGAGTTATTGAACAATATTTTAAGAAATTTTGTTCTTTCTTAGCTTCCACAGCCCATTGTGGTATCAAACTCAAGCATGCAAATTCTGAACAATACACAGATGAGCCAGTCGATGTATGCTTGTAATACTCAGTTGATGATTGATGAAACAGTGTCTGATAGTAATACACAGAGTGAGAGGCAGCCACACAGCTTACGTTTGGTGCCACCTCCACCTAAGTTTGCCCATGAACATACTCATATAAAAAGGACTGAGAGCCAGCTTTTAGATATCCATGATGTAGCAACACAGGTATGTATGATCGATGGAATGAAAAACTGCTGCTGAATTTCAGGACTAGCTGTCAAAGGCCCACATTTTTGGGACTTTAGGGCAAAATTCAGTTGCAGTCTGCTGTGGGTTAATATCAAATTTTTGCCAATTAGCTTAAAACTTATGCATTTTCATTTAATTAAGCTTATTTATACTTGACTGATGAAGGTCCTTATTCCTCAGCCCTATTCAAATTAACTCATACTAAAGTCTGGTGGTGCCAAATTTGAGGTAGAAAATGAGCCCCCTGGGCTTCCCCATTGAGCTCAGCATCAAATTAACATTGGATTTGAATGTACACAATGATTTTTCGTTTTTGTTCTTAAATTGGAAGTCCATAAAAACAACCATTCGAGCATTTGATCGTGCAACTTTTACTTAATACCATGAGTGGAACAAATTCAAATACTATTGATCTTATCTAGGTTGTCACATATCCTGAGAGGAGATCGCCTTTGCCTCCTGTAGTAGAACAGTGCGCAGATCTTGACATACATGATGAAGCGACTCAAGTAGTTGCTCTACCAGACATTATCGAAAGAAATGACAAAGACGATATAATTGAGAATAAAGAACAGCAAAATCAAAATAATGCAGATCATCCTACATCAGAAGGAGATTCAGAAGCTACTGATATTGGCAGTCAAGGTTCAGTACAGCAACCAATAGTCGTTCAGCGTGTTTTTCACAATCGACATTCTTACCATTACAGTCAAGAGCCCTCAACATCAACAGCAAATAGACAAGTTGATGATTCATTTCAGGGTGTGAGTCATAAGTCGGATAGCAATGTTGTGGTTGAGGAAAGTTTTGATGCCATCAGCAGGGTGTCAGATGACTTGCTTGCAGATGCTATTGAGTTTCCGACTGACGAGCTTGAGACAACCATTCAGGAGGGTGATATTCCCGAAGCCATAGAAAAACCTTTAAGTAGGCAGAAATTGGCATTTGACAGTCCACAGCCAGAAGAAACTAACAATAAAGTATCTCGATCTTCTAGAAAGTTAGAATCTGATGGAACCAATGAAATTGAAAATGATTCACAATCTACGGAGGATATAGTAGTATTTAAAAAGAAACCTTTAAGAAAGCTAGAGTCAACTCAGGAGTCTGATTCAGACACTGATATTGAATGCAGTCCAGTTATTGGAGACACGCAGGCTATCAAACCAGTTTCAATATCAAAAAAAGCAGTCATTGATTCTGACAGTGATACTGATATTGAAAATAAAGAGAATATCAAAAATTGTAGTAATACGAATAATATTAAAGATAAACCTTGTGGATCTGATTCAGATACAGACATTGAGGATAAAGAAACTGTTACAGCTAAAGAAGACAACCAGAAGAAAACCACAGCAGATTCAAGTGAGGATCTAAAAGAAAATGAGAAAAATCATCATGCAATTAAAGGAAACAAAAGCAGCATTACACCTGACTCTACCATACCTAAATCTACCGACAAAGAAAAAGAAACTAGTTCTACAGTGAATCATACAACTAGTGCCACTAATGTAGACTTGGTGAAACAACAATCTGCTCAATCTGATTCTGACACAGATGTTGAAGATTGTAATCAGAAGGATGTCGCAAGGAAGTCAGCAGAGGATTCTATAAGGATATCAGACAAATTACAAAACAGAAATGCCAGTCTCAATGATTCTGATTGTATACCAGCTACTCAAGACGCATTTGCATTGGCTTTTAATTATGACCAGAAGAATGATAAAGTGAATACAGATTGCTCGGAAGAAAGTTTCAAACTGGGGTTGACAGAATTGATGGAAGGTAGTCAAAATTCTCAACCTTCAAGGAAATCTAACGGAAAAAATTCTGAAGAACTGTCGAAGAAAGATGACATTCTTGAAGGCTTGAGAAAATCTGATCAAACAAGTGCTGAAGAATTGTCGAAAGAGGACAGTAGCCCAGCTAAGAAAGTTGGCAAACTTGAAGATGAGCAGAAAACTGAACAGATGAATATAGAAGAGAATGCTGAACCTGGTCCTCAGAAGCCTGACGATGAAGCTCAAGAAGATGAGGTCTATCTAATGCCCACTCAAAAATTAGACATTCCAAATACTTCCGCAGAAGACAAACAGTTTAAAATACCTTCACAAAAATTTACTTTCAAGAAGAAAACATTGCAATTAGAACAGTCTATTACAACAATGTTTTCGACTCAAACTGATGATATGTACATGATGCCTACTCAGAAATTGAATGAAGACGGCACCGCAAATGGTGACGATGATGATGAAGATGATGTGTTCTTTGCAGCTACTCAGGTTGTTGATAAATGTGAAACAAAAAAGAAAGACGATGATAATGATGACATATACATTGCAGCCACGCAGATTGTTGAAAATCGCGAAACAAAAAATAAAGACAATGATGTTAATGACGACGTATATATTGCAGCTACTCAAGTTGTTGAAAAACATGAAACCAAAGAGGCAGGCGATGATAATGTATATATTTTACCCACTCAAAGGTTGACTGAACACGAAAACAATGAAATTGTAAATAATATATTGGCAGAGAATCGTTCAGAAACCAGAAAAAGTATAGTCGAAAACGTTGGAAGAACTGGTGATGTAGACGCATACGATGTTCCTACACAAGTACTTGAGACTGATGCAAAACATTCCAAGGAAAGTAAATTGAAAGATAATGATTTGTATGATGCACCTACCCAAGTATTACAAAAACCTGACGATTCGTCAAAGGAACTTGGAGAAATTGAAAGGAAAGATTCTAAAAATTCTATAACGCTGAGTCAATTTGAAAATTTTGCACAGAGTACAGCAGATAGTTTGAAGCAAAACAATGTGATTCTTGAAGAGACCAGACCAGAGACATTGAGTCAAATTGAAACTTCCATTAAACAACCTTTGAATGCTGGTGACGAAGCGGAAGGGAAACCAGCATTCAAAAATGAAAATTCTGCCTCGAAAACTAAATCCACGAGAAGACTCCATTCTAGGGAATCGTTAGACAAAACTAATTACCTTAGTTTGCCCAGAGAAAGTATAGATCAAGAGGCTGCTATGTCAAGTGCCGAAATGATACGGAAAGATATTATAAAAACTATGGAAAGCATAGCTACGAAAGAACGTAGTACCTCGAGTAGAAGCGGTAGACGAAAAAAATCTCCGGCTCCTGAAATGAAAGAGAAAACTGTCAGTGCTAGAACAGCGGCAAGGATGAATAAAAAAGAAAAAAGTCACTTGAATGAAGTAACTGAAAGGAAAGACGAGATAAAAGATGAAGGCATTGAACCAAAAAGCAACGGGATCACAGAGGAAAGTAAAACATTGTCCAAAAAAACTTGCGAAGGTGAATCTACTAGAAACAAAAAGTTAAAAGCTATCGAGGATGAAACTAAAAGCACCGATTCAGTGATAAATGCAACTAATAGAAGAAAAATAAAATCATCTTGTGATTCGGAAACAACTTCTGGTGACAGAGAGACAAAAACATCGAATATCAGATCTACTAGAAGAAGAAATTCTGAAGCTAGGGAAGAATCGACACTGTCTGGTAGAACAAAAGAAAGAGGTGCAAGATTAGTTTCGCGAGAATCTGACATAGAAAAACAAGCAACGGAAAGTGCTTCTTCTAGACCTAGAAGGGATGAACCGGTTGCGGATGATGATGAAAAAAGCAAGGCAAAACCAGTGGCTTCGACTAGGAGTAGAAGAGGGGATTCTCAGGAACCAAATACCAAGGAAAAATCAGCAGAGTCTAATAGAAGTGCAAGATCACGTTCTCGAGAACCTAGCACAGTTGAAACAACAACTGAAAAAGCCTCTTCTAGACCTAAAAAGGGTAAATCAATTGCTAACGATGTTGAAAAAGTTGGGAGAAATATGGAAGCTTCTACTAGAAGCAGGAGGGGAGATTCTTGTGAACCAAGGGATGAATCGGTAGAATCTACTAAAAGAAAAGGAAGACCGAGAAAGGATAAGTCAGTAGCTGATGATAAAAATATGGATACAACAGCAGTAGCTTCTAAAAGAATTACTAGGAAAAACTCCAGCGATATTGAACAAGCAAAATCGAGCCGTAAGCGGAGAGGTTCATCGAGTGACTCGATTGAAGAAACTGTCGTTGAAAAAAATGCACGTTCTACCAGAAAGCGGGATAAAATTGTTAGTGATTTGGAAACGATTTCGGAAAATGATAATAATAATGTGAAAAGTAAGCCATCAGAAGATGCCGTTGTTCCGTCAGTGTCTGGAAAAAAGAAGCAGAACGATGATGGTGATGATGAAGTCAGAGATTTTGAAATTTCAAAACCGACAAAAGCAAGGAACACGAAGAGACCCGCAGATGTGGCATCTACATCTAGCTCACCATGTTCAGCCAAGAAAAGTAAAATGGATATGGATCATTCATTATCAACACCGGAGGTGAGTCTTAAATTAAAAATATCATTTTTTAGATCCCCGACATAAAAAGCGGGGCAGACACGAAAAAAATAAAAATCGCTAAACTTCGGTTTTTGATGTTTCTGAGACTCCTGACCATTATCGGAATTTTTTTTGTAAAGGTTGAAACTTGACGAGTTGTAAATGTAAGGTCTTTAGTATTAGTCAAAGACGTTCTATCATTAAGAAGCTTCTGATCCCGGTAACAACGGGAAAAATAATATGAAATAATCAATATTTATCAAATCTTTATTGAAAAGCAAAACACCATGAATTGCAAAAAAATGTGATTTTGTTTTTAGAAAAACAGAAGGAGACAGAAACCCAAAGTCGTCTTTACAATGTTGGACAGTCCACAATTGGAGTCGTTTGTCAAACATTTGGGTAAGAAGCTTAAACATATCATGGTTTGATGCAAAGAGTGTTAAAATTATTAATTCCAGGAGGAAGTATCGTGGACAAAGTCGACGCGTCTAATGTTTTGGTGACTGAACATGTCAAAAGGTCCATGAAGCTTTTAAGCGCTGTTGGACTTGCAAAACCGATTTGTTCTATAGAATGGATCAAGGCTTCAAAGAAAGCTCACGAATTCCTTGGTTAGTGTGGATTCGTAATCAGTAATTTTAACTATTCAAATTATTACTAAACAAGAAACCAAGTGGTTTTTTTATTAATTTCAAATAAAACATCTTTTTTGTTTAAGATTTATTTAGCATGATTGCTACAAGTACGTTCTTTTAAATATCTTTAAATTACAAGTAGACTTTATATCATTATTTAGTTTATTAAATTCAAGTAATCATTTCGGAAATATTGATTGCAATTTTTGTAAATGAAAAGCTATATTTCAACTTATACAGGGTGGCGCATCGAAAACGAAACAGACGCATTTACTGGCAGCTCAGTTTTTTTTTTTTTTGGAAAAACGCTCAGACCCGTCGATTTTGTTTTCGAGGGGGACACAAGTTTGGCAAAAAATCACGTTAACACGTGCACCCTCCTGGGCGGGGGTGACACCAACCCTAAAATCTTAAATGGAAAGGGGGGACGAGTGATACCTTATTTTAAAGGTCTTTCAATTCCCTTTATAATGATGTAAAATACATGAGCTTCAGTTCAGTAGTTTTGAAGATTTATTGATTTAAAGCTTAAAGTAGACTTTAATAGGTACATCAGATTAGTTTGTACTACTTTCAGAAGAATGGTTTGTTTATCATTTTGTTGTTGAAAATAGCCATTGGAGCGTTTTTTTTGTGGCAAAAAAGTTATTTCTTGAAGAAAGATAAGGAAATATCTCGTACTTATTTTAAATAGGAATTTAGTACATAGTTTGCGATTGATTTGACCAAACTTTGTTGCTAAAATAGCATGTGACGCTTTATTACATAAATTAACCATGGTATATTCCACAGCAGAAAGAGTTGAAATTATCGAAATATTTTTCGAAAATAATCAGTGCGCTAATAGAACAGCAGAAATATTAAATGAACGACATGAGAACAGTAACGTGCATCGAAAATATGTTCTAGAACTTGTAGCTAAATTTCGGGAAACTGGCAATAGAAGTGGGGGTCTTAGGGCAAGTTTATGTAGATCCTACGTTAAGTACCCGCAAATTGGAGACTGTGTGTGGTATTAGTCGACGTACTGTCCAACGGATTCTAAAGGCCCATAGTTTTCATCCGTATAAAATTCACCTGGTACAAGAACTTAATGAAGACGATTTTGATCGGGATTACAATTTTGTGAAGATATGCGTGAACGAATTATAAACGATGAACATTTTCTATTCAACACTTGCTTTTCCGACGAATGTTCCTTTTTCTTAAATGACGTAGTAAATCGTCATAACTGCCGATATTGGTCCGATTCTAATCCCAGAATTTATCATGAGGTTCATACACAGCAGCCACAAAAATTAAATGTTTGGACTGGTATTTTTGGTGATCATTTAGCTGGTCCTTTTTTCTTACCTGGAAATTTGACCGGTGAAATGTATTTGGAGTTGCTGGAAGACGCCATAGATCCTGCATTAACAGCCATAATTGAAAATTATAAAGGGAATTGAAAGACCTTTAAAATAAGGTATCACTCGACCCCCCTTTCCATTTAAGATTTTGGGGGTGGTGTCACCCCCGCTTAGGGGGCTGCACGTGCTAACGTGATTTTTTGTCAAACTTGTGTCCCCCTCGAAAACAAAATCGACGGGTCTGAGCGTTTTTCAAAAAAAAACTGAGCTGCCATTAAATTAGTCTGTTGCGTTTTCGATGCGCCACCCTGTATAATAATTGTGGTAAGTAGTTCTTTGTAGTGTTCTAAATCTTGTGGAAATTTTTTATATTCAACCAGTGCAATTCTTGTAACATAGATTTTATTTTGGTGTAATTATTTTTATTCGATATTATTCTTTCACATAGATTTATTTTGCAGGACTTGTAATTTTGAGAATACAGCTTCATTGGAACAAGAGTTTAACTTTTTAGTAGTATTAAATTAATATTTTTCAGATCCATGGGATTATATACTCGTAGATAAAGATGCCGAATCAAAGTGGAAATTTTCGTTGAAGGAATCGCTAGAAAGAGCTTCTAAGAAAAAATTATTCGAAAACTATGTTTTCCAGATTATGACTACAAATGCGGCCGATGTTTTGAAAGGTAGGTCAAAACGTAATAAAAACGTACTAACAACATATGTGTCACACTTGATACTGTTGGGATTTAACATCGTGGGGTTTCTTTACCACCTCATTTTTACTCATTATATTTTGCGCTACTCATTTTTTGCTGGAATGCTCATTTTTTTTGGGATGTTCACAATGCAGGTGTTGCCATCAATATTTAGTTTGGTATTGTATGCCAGAACCACTGCATGCCAGCAATAAACATAGTGAAGAAGCATTTTTATTCATATGAATCACATGGTCAGAGAAAAGCTTCCAAACTCATTTTTACTTATAAAATCCTCACATAAACTTATTTTTTTCAAGAACTCGGGTCTGTACTATATAAAGCAAAAACATTCTTTGTGAAGTTAATTTAACATCTGGAACAAAACATATAAGCTACGACACAGTGGTTTGCGCTGTAGGATTCTCCAAACTTTGTCGTCTGTTTCGATTAGGATTACGACGGTGATCCCAGAAGTACCCGCATGACCTAGAGATGGCGATAGTTGTTTGAAAAATACCATTGTATTAGAAAGTATGCAACCTATAAAGCATATGTGTCAAATTTGAAGACGCCACGTTGTTTAGTATTTGTTTGGCAGCCATCAATACTGATCGTTTTCAGTGAATTTGTGAAAATGGAGAAAATTGGTCATCGTTATGTGGTACAATACTTTTATTTCAAAGGCCTCAGCCCCACCAATATAAAAGCTGAACTGGATTCTACTCTGGGTGAGTGATCCTTCGTTTACAACTAAGATATTGGGTAGCAGCAAATGAGGTGACAACTCCAGAAATGGTGAAGAAAATTCACAAAGCGGTACTGAATGATCGTCGACTGAAAGTGCGCGAGCTAGCAGACATAGTAGGCATTTCAAAAATTGCGGTTCATCGCATATTATCTGAAAATTTGGACATGAGAAAGCTGTGTGCAATTGGTTAATAAGAAAGTGTTGTTTCATCAAGACAATGCACCAGCTGACAAATCCGTTATTGCAATGGCCAAATTTAACGAATTAAAGTTTGAATTGCTACCTCATGCACCCTATTCACCAGATTTAGCCCCCTCGGATTATTTTCTGTTTCCAAACTTGAAAAAATGGCTCAGTGGTCAAAGATTTTCCAACGATGAAGAAGTGACGTCGGCAGTTAAAGGCTATTTTGAAGAGCAAGACAGTTCTTATTATAAAAATGGTATCGAACTTATTGAACATCGCTGGGAAAAGTGCATAGAGCTCAAAGGAGATTATGTTGAGAAATAAATACATTTTTTTACAAAATTTTTTGTTTTCTTCGTTGGGTCGGGTACTTCTGGGACCACCCTCGTAGTAACACTATAACGATAAAATTGATTTTATTGCAGGTGCAATCCAGTGCTGTGGCGGAAAGTGTGTATCGAAAAAACCTCCTGGTGACGGCACGAACTTCGTAGTGGTCGCATCTCCTGATCAGAGGAACCGATTTAAGAAGATTTACGAGCAGGCTCCAAAAGCGCTTGTCATAGAGCCAGAGGCAATATTTGATGGAGTTTTAAGACAGGAGGTCCGATTCTCGAGGCATTTACTGTAAGTAGTACGTAAAATAAGCTAAGTAATATTCCATTAACATATTTTTTCGAAAGTGTTTGGTTTGTTTGCGGTTTAATACACGGTTAAGTTCACAAGTTTTGTATTCAGCCTATATCAAATTAAAAAATAATTGTCTTTCTAGTTCTTCTGTGGACTGTGATCTAATTTGGTTAAATATCCTTGAACGAAAGATCTAATTAATAGTCTCAATCCAAACTCATGGAACATGTTTTTTATCCGTTTTTTTTTTGTCATGGTTTGGGTGAAACCACATAGTTCCCTAATGTTGAAGTGCTATTTCTCCCAAGGCATTTGGCAACATTTTAGTTGAAGATTGTGTAACAATTAAACAGTTCTAAGTTGGTTTTCGTATGTTCTTTTTTTTTTGAGGGCTTTTGGCGTTTTTGGGACGATAGACGAGGGTCACGTATCTGGTACATATATTGTCAAAGCCATTCTAGCGAAGAATGCCTGTTTTAATTGGGTATCTTCAGGTGGAATATGTCAATTAATGCCTTGGTGGAATATGTTAAGCAACGCTATTGATGATTGATGCTTATTTTTCAGGACTTAGGTTTGCTGCAATGACTCATGGGGAGTGATTATTTTTACGCAATGGACTAGATTATGAAAATATAAAGTAGAAGCGAAGGAATTTTGTAATATATTTGTATACTTATTTTTGAAAGCCACGCTATTTATAATTTTGTATATTTGTACAGTATTATAAGAGAAAAGCTTTGAAACGTGTTGTAATTTTATTTCTTTGATCTTATTGTAGGGCGAACGTTTCTGAAAATAGCATAATAAATGTGTTTTTTATCAGATTTTTTGTTATTTAAGAAATCCCATTGCAAATCAGAAATTTTTGCGAGTATACACTACAGATGCAGATGGTGTTGAATAGATCAAAAGGCGTGCCAATTCACTTATTACAGAAAAGATCAGTGATTAGTGTTGGGCGGTCCCGCTCCATTAAGATTCGGTTCCCCTGGATTCCTTCCATTGTCGGACCCGTTAATTTCGTTCCGATCGACTGACGCGCCACTCGACAGTCAGCTTGGGTCCATGGTGATTTTAACACCATTTTATTGGGCAGTATTAGAGTCTATCATTTTACTTAATCTCGATTTGTTGCCGGTCTCCCATTTCTTATTTTTTTTTACACCGAAGCAGCCGCGCAGGCAGAAGCCTAAGTGCCGGGCACCGCGATTGCTATGAGGAGCTTGAAGAAACTTTGTTAATCCGATTTTGGAACTGCCTAAGGTTGTTAGAACTGGGAAAAGCCTCTTCATGTAGATTGCTCCACAATCCCATCCCGATACCTTGGGACAAAGGAGCGGTCGTATCGGCCAGATCTGGATGTACGAAGTTCGACACGGTTAGGAGGGGAGACCTTGAAATTTGCACATTTTGGATGGTTTTGTGTACAATTTTTAGGAGTTGCCCCTTCTAGGAAAATTAAAATTTGCTACCTCCCGCTCATCAAACACTTTTGGAGCAGGTACACTTTCGCAAAAAATTATATTCTTTCTTGCCGATGATCCCCTAAGAAAAATTCCTGCGGGCGCCCATGATACCGGTGTTTGATAAGTAATTTTGGAAGCTAGGGGGGTATTACGTGACTTGAAAAGTGACATTGTCGTTTTTTGACATTATGACGTTTTTTTTTATATGAGGTAGGTTTTCCAATAAGACGTCAATTTGGAACTAGTTTTCGTTAGGGATGTTCCGATCCGCGAAAAGTATCGATACAAGTATCAAAACTTTCCGATACGGAACATACGCTGGCGAAAATCGAAGTTGTTTTTTCTACAATCCTCAAAATAATTTTTACTTTTTTCAACCGGATAACTAGATTGTCAAATACGCTCACTAATAAAAAATAGGTGAAAAACCTCACAATTGCATAACTTAGATCTCCCACCTAAACTTAGTTTTACAAAATAGCGCCACAAATCACGTCTTACAGGAGGCATCACTATCACAATAATGTTTTGTTTTAAACTGTTTAACAATTAGTACTGAAACTACTGCGTCATGTGTGTGTAATTACCCGAAATCGAATCCAACAGGGCTACCAGGTCGTTTAGCTCAGTTTCCCTAGCCGAAATGTGAAAATCCTCTAAATTCAGCAAAAAATCTAAAAAATACATTTTTTGTTACCATATGTTTTCGATTTGTTAGGTATTCTTGGATGTCGCTGTCGCTGAATACCCCAAAAGGTGAAAGTATTGGTTTCGGATCGAAAGACAAATAAATACATAACAAGTACATTGTGTAAAGTCATTAATAAAATTTTACATAATAATACCTCCCCAGTAAAATATGTTTCCCCAAAAGTAATCCCCAGAAAAAAATATCCAAAATTTTACCCATTGAAATAATATGGCACTCCTGGAATCCAAATAAATTATGAGAGGTCGTGAAGTGGAAGGAAACAAAGAAGAAAAGTACTCGTACACACAGCCCGGATTGAAAGAGAACGATACTGGTGAAATGTATCGATCCACCAAAGTATCGTATATAAAATATCGGGTATCGGAAGCAAAAGTATCGATACTTCTAAATATAGGATCGTATCAAACATCCACAGCTGTCGTTCACCTCATGCTGACTTGTAGCAAGCGCACACTAGCCTACTTAGTCAAAAAGTTGGCATTTTATCGTTTTTTTACGTTATATAGGCGATTGAAGTTAAAGGAGAGATCGAATTCGGTCTGACCGGCAGGGTTATTACTTAAAAAACCTATGTGATGTCAAAAAAAACCGACGAAATGTCAACTTGCTTTCTAGCTAGTTCCTAGTGTGCAAATAGTTTATTTTACTATTGCTGTGAGCGTCATCTGTGGAGGAATGACTCAATGACCAGCATGCTTTGTTGGTTGCAGAATGCCGACCTTGTTGAGTATATCTCTGTGAAAATGTGACAAAGAAAATTGGTCGAGCAGCAATATCGCATCTGGATGATTGTGTGTACTGATCTCCATTCTGCATGTGTATAAAATCACCACCGCGCCCGGGTATAATGTGTGATTAAGCCACATCACAGAAAATTTATGAATGACCCATCACAGACAAAACGCTTTCGCAGTGTCTCACATCTAGACGCTGATTTGATTTTCTGCTTATCTCAAAATAAAATTGTGTTAGCAGATGTAACATCAAATCAGAGCCAAACATTGAGCTGACATTTAGGCAACACGTACAGCTACAGAACGAGTGCACATCAAGTGAACAACAGGTAGTTCTAAGTCGACATCTTGTAGAAAAACCTTCATAATGTGACAGAAAACCTATATAATGTCAACGTCACTTTTCAAGATACGTAATAATCCTGCGGATCCACCACAGGACACGTTCAATTGGAACCGGTCGGACCGAAACCGCACAACTCTAGTTCAGATGTAGAAGCAACGTTGCCAAATCAATAATTACGGTATAGTTAACCAGAACAACAGTTTTAGTTGGCAAACTTGAAAGTCAACCAGCAATTAACAAATTGGACTTAGAGTGCTGTCTGAAGGAATGCGAAAATAAAGGACGGCATTGTACTTAAAATATATAATCCATCCATAAGAAATGCTTTGCGGGAATAACAATAAATATAAGAGTCTGATTACAGTTTCATATGGATAGTGCCCGCATAGCGGCACCGATTTTCGCAAAAAACAAATATCACAACAAATATAACAGGCAGGAGGAAAATGGGTACGGGTTTAGTTCGGACAGCTGCCGCTAGCGGTAGTGGCGCTAGCTGCGGCGCTGTTATTGGTGCGTTCCTGCTTGATGATGTCCTCCAATGTTTCTTGGATCCCTTCAGGAATTTGACCAGCGTCGATCTGTTTGGCCCACTGGCTATACTGTAACAAAGTATAATCGCTTTAAAATTTTGATTCTGTCGGCCATATAATAAGTTTATTTTCATCACAGAGATACATCCAACTGCAGGAAGTATCAATAAAGCACAGTAACGAAATACATAAATAAGAATAATATACGGCGAGAGAAGCGTCCAATATGTACGCTAGAAAGTTCGCCGATAGCGTCAGTAGCCTCGTCACTCGGATTGCTAGGCAACGAGGTGCTTCTATCTCTTTCTAACATGCTTCTCTCCCGTACACAATAAAACGTCATTGCTGTGTATGAGTGAATATTCAACAACAATATGTCATGTCATTGAATATGTCGCAGTTGCTAATACTCGTACTATTTAATCATCCTATGAACGGGAGATTTGGACAAAACATTAGTGTGGCAGAAATCACTGTACAGTGTAGTACAATACCGATTACCTAAGCGAGGAACATTAAAATCTATGTTACTTAAAATACACGGACATTAAATTTTATTGCAGAGTAAACTGAACAAAAAAGGAGCGAACATATTTCGGCGATTTCATATCAAAAGGTTTGAACAATACATTATGGCTTTGTGGATAGAAACTATATTGCATTTGAAAAAATACATTTAACAGCTCCGAGATTAATAGATTCCAATCTGCAAATAGAGTTTTGATAAATAGATGTTCAGATAATCTAAAAATATTCAATGTTACTTTTGATGATGTTAGATATAGAAGCTCAATTGTTTCAACATTCAAGAAAAATTACACGTTTCTAGCACAGTAACATAACATTCTTTATATCACCATTAAAGTGAACTTGGTATCAAATATCACACTTCTACAATATGTTGCTACTTTACATTTTGACGCATTTAATGTGAGGAGCTTTTTGAAGAAAATGTAGAAATTATAATACTGTCAGTTTGATCTGTGGCTTGACAAAAGGCAGCACGTCAGTAGAAAGTTGTGTCTACATGTGTGGTTACCAGGGGCGTATCTAGAAAATATTTGTTTAGGGGGCACATTTGATCAATTTGAAATTAGAGCTAGGGGGTCAGGATTGATGTTAAGGAGGGCGGGGGTCAGGATGGATATTAAGGGGGGGGGGGCATCTCAAAACTGAAGAACGGGGGAGAGGGTCGTCTTTAAATCAGAAAGCACGCTCAACATTTTATTAAATTCTGATATATCCGTGGTACGGACCCTCAGAATACCCACCCTGGATCCGCCGCTGGTTTGGTTTTAATAGCTAAAAAAAGTATGGAGTTCTATCAGCATGAAAACCACATGATTAGTTTCGAATAATACAATATATCATATATTAGACAAATGAAAAAATCACGGACGATGAATCCCAGGCGGCTCATTTTTTACTCCAAATTCCGCTCCATGATACTTTAGAATTTCTGGTGGTCGTATTTGAATCCAATTTCATTTGCCTTTAGCAACGGGAACGAATACACACATGACAAGGTTGTGAAAAAATATTTCCAAAATCGAGTATCCATGGTCAGAAAATTTTCGAAATCATTTTGATAAAAATCTCACGTAAAATGCGAGACAGTCTTGCACAGAGAAAGATGTAGTACCTGTTCTATTTCCTTTCGTAAAGCAAATACGGCCTTCTCTCTATCCGCAACTAATTCTTCAAGGTACTGGTATCTCAGCTTCTTTCTAGCACGGCATTCTCTGGCACTTTGTCTACTACGCTCTGAAACAAAAATAAAACAGTACTAAAAAAAATCAGGCCTTTTTGACCACTCCCGAAAATAGTTATGAGTTCGAAGAACATACAAGAAACTTTTAAAATTGCCCCTGGCACAAAAGTTGGTAAATACGTGGTACCCGTTGTAGTGGTATTTTATTAATACAGTATTATAAAACGTTTCCGCAAAATTGAAAGCTATGTTCAAAAATTCTATATTCTTGAAAACACTAAAAAGTGTATTGGCGCCTACAGCAGCAGTATCAAGAGTTCAAAGTCAACTGTGTGATAATCATTAATTATAACGTATTCTACCTGGAGATAACCGACCAAGAATTGTATGTTAGCGCCCAAAAAAATTATTCGCGATGAAATGAGATACAGTGGCGTCATCTATAAGAATTTGTTCCAGCTATATTTCTCCTCGCCGAAATAATTAGCATTATACTTTGAAAAGGCTAGTCTCTGATAGATGGCGCCATATGCTTGTATTATTATTTTACCTCAAAGACGGATAGCTGAAGAAGTAAAATAACTAGAGTTGATCTAAACTATCTACTGAAGCGCATGCGCAGCTTGTGTCACATATTACTTGTTTGCCTGCGATATTATGGGTTTTGATAGTGGAAAAAGTTGTAAATCACACCTTTTGCGGGTGGAAAACACTTGATAAAAACAGAGGATATTTTTAAAAACTGTAAATTATTCCATAGCTGATTAGCTTTCAGGACCCAACGCGACTTAGTTTAGTACCAAAAGAGAATTTTTAGTTCGTAATTCAATTTTTCTACACCCTGCGAACTCCGCTTAGAATATAATCTTGATCAATTTTATGTTGAAGGTACTTTTTTAAATAATAATTTTGAACGATGCTTTATAACCATATAACATTACACACTAAATTCACACGCTCTTAAAAATACTTTTAGCTACTTTTCATATTTTTTTAATCAATTTTTGGCGCTTTAAATTATGTTGGATACAATTAAATATTTAACAACCTACCTAATTTGGCTCTCATGTCAACCTTGTCTGCAGATTTTCTGCCTGGTTTCCTACCCCGCTTCCCTGATTCCTTTCTAGCAGGACCCTCCTGTAACAAAGTTTACATTAAAGGCAAAGTCCAGACTTAAAACGTAAAAAGGTCACTCAAAACAACAAACCTGACCTATACAACTTTTAGGCATTCAAATCAATTCAATGTTGCCCATTTTAGAAAATCTTTCTAACACTTCTTCGGATATGACCTCAATGACATAATTGACATTTAGATTCTGGAGCATTGCACTTCCGAGTCGAGCTTGGATCAGACCCAAAGAAGAAAAAACCTTTTCACACTAGCGCTATTAACTGGCAATGTGCAAAGTATACAAAGCAAAGAGTTCCCCCCGGTAATCCGCCACTGCCTATATGCTGAATAACTATTATCATACCAAATTCGCGTTTGAGGTGAAGTAGGTGTAAACAATATAAGGAACTGGGCTAGACTGTACAGAGCCGTATTCAGTGCTTAAGTGCGCGATTTCGGTATTTACGGAAAGGAAAATCGAAAACGCAACTATCGAGCTTTTCTGCCCTAGAGAGGCATAGGGTACAACAGATAGGAATGAATTATTTCTGCTCATAAAAATCAATAATAATCGTAATCCCCTCGTACATGGAGATTGTTTATAGGAAGATCTTTCGCTTTCTGATGCGCTTAGAGAAACTGAGGTCATGGATTATTTGTTTCCATGGTTTATTCCATTATAAACATACTTACAGTAATAAAAAGTAACGCTGTTGCTAAGCGGTAGACGCAATAATCCTCTCGTAACCTTTTTATCTAGTGAAAGTCTAGTATGCTGCGTTTATGCGTTCAATTGTTCTGACACGGGCGACTGACGGTTGGAAGAATATATTATCTATTTTTATATAATGCATATGAGACAAGTCTCAAGTGGTTACGAAGCCGCAACAAAAAGACTTTTGATAGTCATATTTATCAAGTTGTAATACCGGCGAAAATGGAAATTTTACTCTAGGGGTCGTATCGTCAGTAGTCCCTACAATAATTGTAGGACGCCTTATGGCCTCCTTGATTCTAATAGTCGGTTCTCTCCTTGAGAAAGGCTGGGATATTTCTAGATTTATACTGTTCTGTGTGAGCGTCACCTTTTTTTTGAATTGTAGGAAATTTCATAATAGATGGTATAAATCAAACGTATGAATAATTTGATGCACCTAGATATTTGTAACATAACCTCAAAATAGATCGCTGACACGGAACAGTAGAAAACTATGAAAATCAAAGAGGCCATGAAGGCGTTATTTGTACGAACGTCAGGAGGCGTAGAAAGTAAAAGTAGTAACTCAGTAGGTAACTACTGATTGGCTTTATCGATTTTCACAGTTCTGGACTCATTTAATGAATGCATCTAATGGAGGTTAAGTTTTGTCGATTTAGTTTTTTGTTTCATCCATTACCTAGAGCTGATTTTCTAGGTTTTTCGAAAATATAAAATAGAACTGGACGCGTCACACCTATATGAGTCACTTCATTTCCCTATCCTTTTCGACAATTATTGAGCCCGTAAGCCATTAACAGAAATGTAGATCTCAAAGCATCTTTATAAATATGGCATACGACATTCATGATCATGAATATAAAAGTATTATGGATAGAAAACCATGCAGTACAGCGGAGCAAAAGAAACACTCAGTGACTGCTCACCTTTCAGTTAACCAAAACACTGCAACAAATAGCTCAGCAACATTGTAATTAGGTTCACAACGCGCACTACTTGATCTTAGGCCCGTATCGTCAGTCGTCCCTACAATTGTAGGGCGCCTTTATGGCCTCCTTGATTGTCATGGTTTTCTACTTCTCCGTGTCAGCACTCTATTTTGAGGTTATGTCACAAACATCTATATGCGTCAAATTGTGCTTGCTTTTGAGTTATATCATCTTTTATCAGCCTGAAATTTCCTACAATTTAAAAAACATATCTTCACAATAGGAGAACGCTGACGCTGACACGGGACAGGTGCAATCTAGAAATTTTTAAAGGAGAGAAAGGAGTATGACAATCAAAGAGGCCATAAACGCGCCCTACAATTGTAGGAACGACTGACGATATGGGCCTTAGAAGCGACCGTTATACCCTTCTGCCTGTATGTGACCCAATAAAAGCACAACATGGGAACAAGTGCCCAGAGGAGGAATGGAATAACATAAAACAGGTTAAAGGCGTATTGAGTGAAATTCACCAGACTTGTATGCTTATAATATAGAAAGTGGGCCAAATGGACGTTCATTATTAAATGTCTACTCGGTACGTACGTTCGTAAAAGCAGCTAATAATGACATGCTACTCCACACATGTTTGTAATATACTACATCTCTTCTGAAATATCGTGAATGTTTACTCAAAGTTATTTATATGTCTTTCAATGCGTTACAATCGCAAACGCCGACGCCGCAGTGTGGTGTAACTGCGTTTAATTTATTTCAATGTTGCCTTGAGGTACTGACCTCAACCAATAAAATGTGCATTATATCTGATTACCATTAACTGCGCAATGTTGTTTTTCATGCATTTTTTTTAAATACAATTCGAATAGATGCACTACGTCACTTTGTTTATTGTGTTCTAGTCTATCACCGTACGTCTGCTGTTTCATATATCTTAAGGCTTCCTATAAGGAAACATTTAAAAACATACTTGATCTGAAATCTGGACGAAATGTGTTATCAATTTCTAATTATTGCGATCTTGTTTATTATCCCTGTCCAGACGTTACGAGTCGTAATAGAATATCTCTTGTACAAAATAACTGCGTACGGTTCATATTTAGTTTAAGAAAGTTTGGCCACGTAAAATATAATTACCTAACCGTTCTACGTAAGTTACTTATCTCTGAGAAACTCCGATTTATTTACGTGAAAAGCTAATTTTTAGATACAATGTTCATCCGTAACACATCTTCATTAACAATGCCCCTTCTTAGTTCACCTCTTTTTAAACAGTCCTTATCATACAATGCGTACGTGTTGTACAATAGTTTGGATTATGAAACAAAAAGCATGCCTCTACGGTATTTTTCACGAGTATCAATCACGGTAGAACAACAGCTGATTATTTATCTAGTGATATTTCAAAACACCCCATATCGTCAAGTGACACATAATTAATGCTGAGTTGCTGAGAGATCCGTCCACGCCAGGTAGGCAGATCCGTATTTTGTTGTGTCATCAGAAAAGGAAGTTGTTAAAAAATAGAACTTGAGATAACAAAGTATTGCGAGCTATAATAGATGAGATTCATTGAAAAAAAGTGTTGGCACAGACGACGCGAGACAGCTTGGCGTCATTCTAAACTGGATTCGTACAAAATGATAGTTTGGTAAATGACACACTAATCTTATACCTATAACTAGAGAAGTACGGCTCGGATTTCGATGAAATTTTTAAACAATGTAGTTTTTGTGATGGCAGAGAAAATGCCTAAGACGAAAAAAATAAATGCCTCAAACTTTTTTGACGTTTCAGAGGACCCAGATCATTTTTGAGAAAATTGTTAGCGATAAAATAACTAGGGCGTGAGGAGGGTTTACCTGAATTTTTTGATGCTGGTACATTTTTACGCTCCCAACATTGGCAATTGTTGCAAGAATAAGGGTTTATATCTAACCCAAATTTCAATTTGAAAGCATCTATGGAAATTTTGCATTTAAATATACGTATTTTAATCTTCATCAGCATTTTCATTTTTATTTCAGTATTTGATTGCTCTTTAACAGCCCAAGCTTCTCAATTTTGGAATTTTTTCCGAAATTCGTCTATCTCGACTCTCCAACTTTTTTTATGTTCCCTTAAAAGTGCATGGACGCACAATAAAAACAAACGTTGAAACATATCAATGCACAATTATAATAAAAAGTTGTTGTTCTTAATGTGAGCCGCAGTTGAGCAACACTTTTATTTTTATGTTTTATATCTCAGCGTTTTATTAGGTATATAGCTTTGAAGTAGAAAATGCGCTCATATAAAAATAAGTTGAATAGGTAGGTACTCGAAAATTGGTGAATTTTTAAAAATGCGAACTTTGGGTGTTTAGAGAACAATCAAGAATAAAATGAAAAAAATGTCTATAGTTTTATATATACATCATTTTCTAAAATATTTGAATGCTGAAATTAATTTACAATTTGAGCTATTTTCAGGACCGAAAAGAAAACTCCGCTCATTTACAAACTTTACAATAATTCTAAAACTGAATATAAGAATGTACGTTGTAAGTTTTCATTTAGATCTCGAGACATTTGTGACAGGCATATTTAAATAAAGATATTTTTTTCAAGTATCAATGGAATATTTAAAAATAACGAAAAAACCCTGACCCCTATAACCCTCACCAACGCGCTAGATCTTCGCCTAGCAACAGCCCTAACAAAGGAAACCGGAACCCGGAAATACACGTAGCCGGCTTTGACATTCGATCCAGGAAAAACTTCACGGGAAAATCACACATAAACATCGGAATTGCATTCCGCCTTACCTGTAAGTGGTAATGCGTAGTAGACGTTGCGGTGTGTAAGCCGGTCGGTTCGGTGGCCCGCTGTCTGATCTACCCGTCGCTCGTCAACCAACCAACAACCGAAACAAATGAATCGCGGCTCACGGCTTACACGCAGATACGAGATACGAGGCACGCAACGCAGCGAGCGCACGTCCGCCACGGCGCACCCGATTTCGCCGGCGCCGAGGCTGCGTGCGCCGTGCATTGTTGCCACGTTTTTGTATCAATAGTCCAGTCAATCAAGATTTTGAAGATGCAAAATTATAAATTGATTATTTAACGTATTCTACCTGAAGATAGCCGACCCAATCCTATATTCCTGCGTCCAAAAAATAATTCGAGAAAAACTTAGATACCGTAGCGTCATCTACGAAAATTTTTCACAGCTGTTTCTCTATTTAATATACAGGGTGTAAATGTTATGGTAGTCATTATTGAAATGGGTAATAGGGGGGTTAAAACAAGTCAAAAAGTTCATATGACTCATGGTCCAAAAGTCAATAGATTTTCGTCTACATGGCATTATAGTTTACTACTTTCAGTACTTTATATCGACCACAATCTTACTAATTTTCATAATCTAATCTAAAAAGTTTTTAAATTGGGTAACTAACAAATAAATGGCATTATGTTTCTAAATTAAGCCAAAATTTGTAGTCAGCAAGTACCGGCAATCGATCGCAAACGGTAACGGTGGTTAGTATGTTGTTTTGGTTTTGTTCGCGTACGTCGTGTCTTGATTCACATAATTCAAATCTTGCAGCTCAAACTTATCGCGACAGATTTCGCCAACGGGTACACCCAGACAGAAGGACATTTGTGCAAGTGTACCAAAGACTTCGAGATACAGGAAGTCTTCAACCCACTAATATTCGCACTCGTCAAAGACAGGTTACTGTAGAGCAGGAGGAACAAATTTTAAATATCGTGGAAATCAATGCAGATACTCGTATCAGCACTCGGGAAATAGGCCGCCGCGTAGGACTATCGCATAGAATCCTACGGTAAAATTTGCTTTATCCCTACCGTATATAACGAGTGCAGGCCTTGTTACCAGAAGATTATCCTCGCAGACTAACATTCTGTCAGTGATTTTTGCACAAAAATATTGAAAATCCGGATCACACGTGGGCCCAAGAAAATCCTCATACTATTCGTGAAAGTCGTAATGAAGCTTGTGTGGGAAGTGGAGGACGACATTTGAACACATTTAAATACAAAAAAACTGCAATGTGGGTTTTAAAAAGAAAAACAATGTATGTATCAAAAATGAGTTCCCTATTTATAAGTGGATTTTTTTAATACGTTCAATAAACTTTCACACACCAGGTGAAGCGCTGAGACAGTTAGTGGTAAGTCCGTTTTTTTTAATTGTTTGCATTTTACGAGTACATTATCAAATAATGAATAATACCTAAGAGCCAAAAATAACAAACTCCATCTTTATTTACACTGCGTTCCGTCGTAATTTGCGTGTGTCACTGCACAGAACAACAAAAGTGATCACAAAATCACCAGAACTCAAATAAAAATCTTCTTTGACACATTGCATATACGAGTATCACAAAAAGCAGGACGATTTAATTCATTCAGAACATGCCAGTTTATTCATTTTTCTATTATATGATAATAAAACCAAGGTTCTGAAACCGTGAAATTATTTTAATTAAGCTTTCCCAGCTTTACAAATTCCAACAACAGCGCTCTATAAGAAAAAATAATGCGAAATCAGCCCTCCCCTAATCTCAACTTGTTTTTCTTATTTAGATAACGATAACGAACAACAAAGGATCTTCTGGCCACTGCGCAAAATCCAAATAACAGATGTCGGTTTAAGGCCGATAAATTGGCAGTCTAGAACGCTTAATTTTAGACCTCTACATTTTTTTCCTTTGGAGATATCCCTACATAAATATCACTACATTTGGTGAACTAAAAATCAGCATCATTCGAGTAATTCGCCAAATACCGCCCGAAATAAGTGATCGCGTTTTGAAATTTAGAGTTTCAATATTGAGGAGGTTACCTACCCTAAAAATACTTTGAAAAATGACATGTCATGATTGCTTCTTTCGTTTGATAATAAGGATAGGACAAAATCGATGGTTGTTATGTTTTATGCTTCTGGAGAAATATTACATGTACATTTTTCTAGGGCTATTAAGAAGCATTATCCAGTAAATCTGGCAACACCGCACATTCAGAATTGTGCGCAGTTGTTTTTGTTTGTTCGTGTTGCAACTTCCATGCATTTGGGTTTGGGAGGAAGACATTAAATGATACGAGGGACCTTCTAAATGTGTTATGAGTAATAACTCAAAGAAAAGGGTGTCAAATTCATTACAACTGGAACTCCTCGGTACAATTTTGATAACTTGCTTTCACACGGAGTGAAAGTGGTTTGAGCACCTACCTAATAACAATAATTCCAGAGATCGTCGATTTTCAATCTTGTAAAAGTGAGTAATACGTCAGACCTACCGATGGTTTTTACCTACTTGAATACGACTGTAATATTTACAATCGGCTAGGTCATCACGTAAAAAACCTGTATAATGTCTAAAACCTTGTTGTTTGTGTGCAAATAGTTCATTTCGCGCTTGCTACAAATGAGCATGAAATAAACGACAGCTAGTTTCAAGTTAACGTGTTGTTGGAAAACCTACATAATGTCATAAAAAGCCTACATAATGTTAAAAAACCTGCATAATATAAAAAACGACAATGTCACTTATGAAGTTACGTAATACTCCTGCGCTGTCAGTCGTACAGAGATGAGACTCTCTGATGCCTGGCTCACTTATGAAGAAAATCTCATTTCATTTAAGCTGAAATTTGGTAAAACGAACATGCATTAAGCCGAGTGAAGTGAGCTTATCCAAAATCGAGTTGAAAATAAAAGCAACTGTTATGTCTATACAAAATACTGTAGTAGGCGCTCCCCTTTATAGTGAGTGCATGTGTAAGGTCAGCTTTAGACTTCCGTGCTTTAACGCCACCTACCGCCTGCTAGCGGATCAACAAAGTTAACATGTACAGATGCACAAAGCGTTTTAGATTCCTTACTCCTCTTTCTGCCATTTTTCCTTGAATGCAGATTCGAATCAAATATGATCAAAACAGAACACGATTAGATATTATATCAACAAATAGGTCACGTTTCAACGGCGCTGACAAAGCAATAATCACAAAACGCTCAAATCCTAACCTACAAGGCTTGTATTGCGCAAGCTTTTGAAATTTGCAAATATTCACTCCCCAAAACAGTGCCTCTTGATTGAGTACTTTGTTCTATCAATTCTAAATTTATGCGGGAACACAAAGGATGTGAATGTGAATCCATAATCTGAGCAAGTAATTAATTTGCACATGAAAGGAAGAAAGAGAAGACAAGACACCCAGACCCAGCTCTTCATCGTATCGCGTGCGGGTTTGCGCCAAAACAAAACAAACAAATGTCAGACACAGTCAACTTACGCAAACAGCGTGCTCGTCGATGACAGCCATCTCTTGAAAATCCATCGTTAACTCTCACTTGAAATTGATCGAGATAACGTGTAAACGTATAAACAAGTCTAATAACACTGCCAACAAGAAGCTGTTTGCTCCTTGCTGCTTTGCAAAACACGAAATTTGTACCACGGCAGTGCAGTGACAATCGTATCAATCGTATACGACGTGTGTCTGTTCTCGTTGTATTTACAAACATTGCAAGGTCAGTCGAGCATTACGTCACAGCTCGATAAACCCAGCTGGTGCGAACTCAGCGACATCTGATGCTAAATATTCCTAAGATAAAATCAATAATCATCTCGTAAACCTTTTTTTATCATGATGGAAATTTTACCAGATGCTACAGAAATAGCATGGTTTGAAAGTATTATTTATTTGGATTCGTTGGGGGAAAAGATGGCGGATATTTATGTATATATATATTTTATTTTACTAGTGAATCACCCCGCTTGTCACCATTCTATGTTAACCTGTCAATTGTCATGTGGTTTGTGCTCTATGAATTTTTACAAACTTAACTGATCTTAACCTCAAAAAACGGCAAAAAACAGCCAAAATGTTTTACCATGTAGGTTTTATTTTTGTTATTTAAACGCCTTTTTATGAAGTAAGATTCATTTTTATTGTTTCCAGATTTCGCTAGAGCACGAAATATTGCTTCACCCACAGTATTTCGGACCCCAACTGTTAGAAAAAGTTAAAACGAAGCTATACACTGAAGTGGAGGGAACGTGTACAGGAAAGTAAGTACTAAAACTAAACGTGATATTTTCATTAAAAAATGCGCATTTCTAAATTATTGAGATATTCCTGTTTTCATTTCAAGAATCCCAAAAAAATAGAATAATTTGCTTTTTCAGGTATGGATTTGTGATAGCAGTCACAACCATAGACAGTATAGGAGCAGGATTAATATTACCAGGGCAAGGCTTTGTTGTATACCCAGTCAAATACAAAGCAATAGTCTTCAGGCCATTCAAAGGAGAGGTTTTAGATGCAGTGGTTCGGCAAGTTAACAAGGTGCATATATTTTCTAATAAAATTGAATAAGCGATACTGATAAACACATTTTTTCAGGTTGGAATGTTTGCAGAGATTGGACCTCTATCTTGTTTCATATCCCATCATTCCATACCAGCTGAAATGGAATTTTGTCCAAATGTAAATCCTCAGTGCTACAAAACTAAAGACGAGGATGTTGTAATACGTGCTGAGGGAGAAATAAGACTAAAAATTGTTGGTACAAGGGTAGACGCTACTGGCATTGTAAGTTATATTTTTTGATGGCACTGTATCAGCTTTCAACAAGCTATTTTTGTTTTTGTTTTAGTTTGCCATTGGAACACTTATGGATGACTATTTGGGATTGATAAGTAATTAAGTATATATGTAATATCTTCAACATATGGAACTGTAATGCCAGTCGGACTCGGCTAAAATACCATCCATAGCTAAGCTATTGATTAATGATTGAAACACTCGGTTAACAGAAATAGGCTTTCAGTTCTATGTTTCAATGGAGATTTGTACTGTCTGAACTAACTAGCAGTAGCTGTGGAATAGCTCTGACAGTTTGCAACAAAGCTATCGCATGGCTCCTACCATACTACCATCTAGCATGAAAGTGGTTCACTTTGGGGCCACTTCACCTTGGCTGAATGTGCTCTTTTTTTGAGGGAGGTACAATCTCTGACATTTTCAAAGAAATGAATGTATATAAGTTGGTATAAAGTTTTTTTATACAGTTCTTTTACATCAGATATGTCATACAGGGTGTAATGAATTTCCATGAACCACTGAAAAGTTATAAGATTCCATAGTGTGAGCAGATACAGGGGTAGGGTAGTCTGATTACAGATATTTATTATATTATTAGTGTAATAATAAAACATTTTTATGAATTTTGTGGTATGATTTATCCTGAATCCAGTTTGAAAGCTAGCCACAATTTTCAGACTAATCCTCTAAAATAAAATATCCGTAGCAGTTAGAGCAACTTCTGTCTTTATCTAGTACTGGTAGAATGTCCATTTGGTCTGGTATGCGTATAACATTCAGTTTGGAAATATGAGAAACCAAATTAACAAACTCCTCCGAGCATAACATACCATCAAAGTACCATTACTTTTATACGAATGTCTCAATTAAAAATAACTGATATCAGATTGGTTCCATTTTGATGGTGTTGTCTTCTGGTTTTGAGCATCTCTGGTTCCATGGTTGCACTTCACCAGATGCAACCATATCATAGAATATTCCTACAAACAGATAGACGCCACTTGCGATGCAGAAAACGATTGTCCACAATGATTTGTCTGTCTGAAAAAAAAAACAAAGGTTGAGTGACTCAGCAATGGGGTGTAATCTGGAAAGCTAGAAGTTTGAAGACATGTCTAAGGTTAAACAATATCTGGGTCATTATTTTAAAAAGGCGATATATACTAAGTGACATATAAATCCGAACACCCAGTTTAAATGGTTTTATTTTAATAAAAGTTACTGTAAATAACAAGTGAAAAAATTTTCAGCCTTATCAGTTGAACATTCCGGTTTTTATACTGCTTTTTTTTTAATTCACTAACGCTCTAAAAATGAATATTTCAGCCGCAGTAAAGAATCAACGTTGGCGTATTTTGGTTCTTGACATCCTTTACGATGCCTAGAGTACGGAGACCTGTACGATTTCGTCAACTTAGTGAGTTTGATAGGGGCCGTATAGTGGGACTTCGGGAAGCTGGACTTTCTTTTCGGGCAATTGCAGTTAGCGTGCAAAGAAGTGTAGACACTGTGGTTAGGTGTTGTCAGGCATGTCTTCGAGAAGGCCGTACGCAAAGAGCAAGGGGCACTGGACGCCGCCGTAGAACAACACCGTGAAGATCGCCGCCTAAGATAATTGGCCTTAAGGGACCGTTTCTCCACTACCAGGTCCATTGCAAATGAATGGTTTGCAGAACACGGAAGACCTATTGACATGCGAAGTGTTTACCGACGAATGAGAAGTTTTGGCTTGTTTTCATACCGGCCACACTGGGTCCTCCCTTTAACTCGAGAACACCGACGTAATCGCCTTGAGTGGTGAAGACAACGGTCACTCTGGGATCAGGAATGGAACAGTATTGTCTTTAGTGACGAGTCTCGATTTTGTTTAGGCATGCACGATGGTCGTGCCAGGGTTAGAAGGCGACGTAGTGGAAGCAGGAATCCACAGTTTTTTGTTGAAAGACATGTTCATCACACTGTTGGAGTTATGGGTTGGGGTGCTATAGCTTATGGTTCCAGGTCACCTTTAATCTTCATCAGAGGTAACATGAACGCGCAGCGTTATATCCACGAAGTTCTAGAACCCCATCTTTTATATGTACACCAAAAAGTGCTGCTAAAAAACTTGCATCAGTTTTTACTATTTTAAATAATAGACATGTAGTAGACGATTTTTCCTAAAACCGTACTTTCAGAAAGCAGACGATTCAGTTTTAAATATAGATTTTAATTAAATAGAGTGTTTGTGCCAAAGAGTAGTTTTATTCCGAGAGTGAAAAGTAAAAAAAGTATTTGGTCTTGTAACATATTTATTCTTATTAACCAAACGCAAAAACTAAAAAGACAAAAAAGCCGCATACGTCAACGTAAGTTCACCACCTCGGGACTGACATTAAAAAAATGTTAGCCATTTCTAATCTTTTTTACTTTTTTAAAAGTTATCCATTAGTTTTTCCCCGGGCATATTCTCCTTTAATCATCATTTTCATAAAAATGTATGATTTTTCTTCGAAGTTCTGTCCGTATACGATCAAAAAGTCTGTTTTTCTTATATGACATGCTTAGGTACTAGAATCTTAAGTCTTTCTTGAAAACAGTATCTTTTTATTACACTTCCTGAAACAGCCGCCATCAGTTTCCTTCTTTCTTCTCTATTATTTTCGGCCAATACATTTTCTTTTATTTGGGTAGATAAAAACTGCCCAAAAAAATAAGGTTTGTTTTAATCTCATCTGAAATTATTTGGCCATCAATCATTCTCTGAACGTTAAAGTTTGGAGGATCTTTGTCTGGGTTTTTTCGAGACTTTCTCTACTGCCAAAGGGTCAGGTCATTGATGGATTTAATTTTCCCCTGTTCCTTCCTTCTTTGGTATCTTTCTCTCTCCAACCTTTTAGCCTCTTCATACCTTTCTGGATTACCTTCTAGTGCTTCCCTATACTTTCTTACCCGTTTCAACTTCTCTCTTTTTTTGCTCTCTCTTGTCATGATTTCGCTTTTTCTGCCTGACCATGTTTTTCTAAAAGTGATGAAATAAATGAAAAAAAAATCACTGTGGATTTTTCAAATAATGACCCATTTAACGAGTATTCATCACATTTTGACGTCTACTGAGGTAAACAGCTGATCTGCAAGTGACATCTTTGTATTAGTCTGTTGGTAATAATGAGTCTGATGTAAATCTAGTAGGGGAGACCGAGGAGAGTTGAAACAATTTTCACATAATGGCACATAACTTCATAAATAAGTGGTAGCCTACAAAGTTTAATATACCATATGAAACCTTGCTTACTTGGCTAATGAATAATCAAAATAAAATACGTCAGGGTCTACTTCATTTTCAAAAAAATCGATTATAAGTCGACCATTAATTTTGTTGCAATTCTCCTCTTGCTGAGGTAAATTGAAACGCTGACCTAGGAGAGTTGGAACACAGGTATTTGGAAGATTTCTTTTTTTAAGAAAGCAGCTTATGAATAAGTAATATATTGAAGTTACTGAACTAAAATGTACCTTATTTGTCAGTGATGACAACATTGAGATCTTAAAATAAAAAACATCATAAAATATAAAATAAAATAAAAAAGAATAATAAGCACAACAAAGAAAATCCTATTCAGAGAAGCAATTATGGCACACGTAGAACAAGTCGCCTTTTGTACAGGCCAAATGAGCCCATGACTTGCATTCTATACACTGAATCCATTCTTCCTTTGGGACACTTTGGGGAAACGGCTCCATACAAACTACGCAGAAGCAGTCATCATCGTCACTGTCACTACTTTCTTTCTCACTTATTTTTCCTTTATTCTTATAATTCCTCCTTGTTTTGCTAACGGATTTCTTAGTTTTATTTTCTAGGTTTAACGCAGGTCTTTTTACTTTTTTGGTGTTTCTCCTAGTTTCAATGGCTTCTAGCTCATTTTTTACAGGAGTGTCAGTTAATATAGCTGAGTTTATCTTTCTCCTTTTTTGCGTATTCTTTCTAGCCTCTGCCTTCGGTAGAGGTCTTATTGCTTCTGGAGAAAATACACTGACTACAGTAGTTACAGTAGATGTATTTGAAGTTGAAGAAACCTCACTAATGGCTGCCGACGTAATAGATACCTTCGAAGTTGATGGCACAGGATAAAGTGAATCAGGGGTAGGAGCATCGTCTTGATTTGAAGACAAAATTGTGGGAATGCATGATACTCCTGCATTTGCATTAGTATTAGAAACAGTGGGATTATAACGTAATAGAGTGAATCATTGATCGGTGGGCTTGGAGTTCGTTCGGCTTCTCTGCTGGTCCTTGGAACTTCAGGATCATCAGTTTGAACAACGGAATCTTCGTGTACAAGTACTGTTGGTGGCAGTGCTCGATCGGTCACCTAACTGGGTAAAAACTCCTCATCACGAAATATTTCAGTGTTCAATGGCCATATCCCGGTCGTCCGGAATCCTGCAGTTACATTTTTTATGGTGACTACTACATCAAAGGCAGTTTTGACAATTCCTGGAATGTCATATATTGTCATTACTTTTCCTGGGTGTGAACGCATCCAGTTATCGCATGTTGTATTGATTGCTTTTTTACAGGGCCAAAGATAGCTCGGTCCATAGGCTGAAGTTTGTGCGTGCAATGTGGTGGAAACGTCAACAGAACGATTCCATTTTCCTTGCAAAAGTTGATGTTTTTGACAGCGGTATGCGAAGCATGATTATCTAGTAATAACAAAACCGGATTTTCTTTGGAAGATCGGACGTGATTCTTGAAGTGCTCTATAAAGCAATAAAAATTATCTTCTTGCATCCATCCAGAACCATTGGCTGTTCCAATGGACCCACTTGGACCATCACGAATAAAGTGGTCGTTAAAACGCTTATGGGGAAATACGAACATTGGTGGAATGCAATTACCTATAGCATTGCCAGCTAATGCTAGAGTGACTAAACTACCTCTTTCTGCAGACGTCATGGCTCTGACTTGCTTTTGACCTCGTCGTGCAATAACACGATCAGGCTTTTGGACAGTAGTTATGCCTGTTTCATCAACATTCCAGATGTCTTTTGCTTCCATATGATATTTGTCAAGTATCGAACAATAATTTTTAAAAAATAGTTCCACGTTGGTTCTATTGAAACTGGTCGCTCGAGCAATACTTGTCGCTTGTGGAAGTCTCAAAGACGAAACTTCGTGGCGTTTCATGAACAATCTGAGCCAAACTTCACCAGCCATTTTGGTTTGCATCCAAGAAGAAGGGCACTTTTTGTCATATGCCACAGCAAGCTTATACGCAAGTTTTCTTGCTTATTTTGTACTCAACCCAAAATTGGCATCAGAGCAGGTCAAAACGTATTCACACAATGATTTTTCTTCCTCTTTGGTAAACACTGTGGGGCGATGATATCCAATTGAGGGTGGTTGGATGGTCTTATTGCTCTCATGCGCTTGTTTTTTCTTAATGTATCTGTACAGCGACGTATGGTTTATATCATAACTTGTGGCAGCATCACGAAGAGATTTATTACGTAGCATCACTCCTTCGGAAGCCAGTTCGTAAATTTCTTTGCTTGTCATACCCCGATTCGTCTTTCGCTTGTATTCGTTCGGCATCCTAAAACAAAAAGAGCATAAGACAGACTTCAGGCATACTGATAAAATTCAAAAACGTATATAAAAAGTCAGTTGCAAAATTGAACGCAAACGAGGTAAGTTGAAACAGGCTGTTTTCAACTCTCCTGGAGTACAAAAATCTGCCGCCATTATGGTTGAGCCGGTGTTACCTCGTTGTGCAATACAGTGTTACAAAAACATCGCTATAGACTGAATCTTGAATGATTAAGCTTTCAGAAAACATACAACACATTGTAATAAAACAGTATATAAATCAAAATATTGATAAAGTTAAAATATGACAAAAACTTACTTTTGTTAAATTTGTCACATCACATTTGATAACGATGTAAGCGTGGACTGGAGAGCGGTAACGAAACCTTCACTTGTGTGCAGGTGGTAACAGAGGCAAATAAGCGTTGTTGCCAGCTCCATAACGTCTTTGGTTTCCACAAAAATTCTGTTGTTTCAACTTACCTATGTTTCAACCCTCCTCGGTCTCCCCTAAAACTCGGTTGTGGCGTCTTTTTTTGTATGCAAATGAACTTTGCTATTATCGTACATGAAGTATCGAATAACTCGTAAAGTACTTGAAATTATCGTATAAATACGATAATTATCGTACGTCTGGCAACGCTGCTCCAGCCTCACTAGCGCCGCCTAGCGGGAGCAAAATTCTCGCTGCCATTCTCTCTCAATGTCAATCTCAAAAATTGCTTGTAATAGACGCTTTGTACTTCACCTAAAAGTCTCTGAAAAAATGTGGCCTCTGCAGACTGACATACAGTAGGCCTTCAGTGGTGGAAGCTAAAGCGGAGCCACTAGCTTGCCGCAGAGGAGGATCTAAAATGACTCACACTGTGTATTTTCCAGCGGGATCAAAGAGGGACCCGAAGCACGGTTTATGGGGGCCTCAGAATAGACAAGCTTTACGTTCCCAAAATTTGAAGCTATAGAACGCACCATCTCTAAAGTTTGAAGATATAAGTGATTTAATATTTGAGAATGTGCGAAATATGTCATTTTTGACCCCGAAAAACAATATGGAAAGCAAACATTTTCATGTTTGTTCTTCAGCGTGCGCTTGATTAACAATTAAACGACAAAGGTTTACAATAATAAAATACCCTCTAGAATGCTTTGGTATTTTGTTAATCGACGTTTGAAGAATATTTAATAACTTTAGCTTCAATTTTCCAAATAATAAAGGTATGTATAAAAAATTGAAAATTTAGGCCCGTATTGTCAGTCGTCCCTACAATTGTAGGGCGCCTTTATGGCCTCCTTGATTGTCGTAGTTTTCTACTTCTCCGTGTCAGCGCTCTATTTTGAGGTTATGTCACAAACATCTATTTGCATCAAATTGTGCTTGCTTCTGAGTTATATCATGTTTTACCAGCCTGAAATTTCCTACAATTTAAAAAGAAAACATATCTTCACAATAGGAGAGTGCTGACGCTGACACGGGACAAGTGTACTAATCTAGAAATTTTTGAAGGAGAAAGGAGTATGACAATCAAGGAGGCCATAAATGCGCCCTACAATTGTAGGGACGACTGACAATACGGGCCTTAGATAAAGGTTCATAAAAGCCTTTTAAACTCAGAGTAACCCAAAAAAACCTGAAAAAAAAACAATCTGAACCCTTTTTAAAGTATGATGAATGAACGTTATTGTCAGGCGTACATTCACTATATTTTTAAAAAGGTTTGTTGTATGATCTACCATCGATATCTCTATCATAAATTCGGACCTTTCTTAATCGTATTTTAGGCTTCCCACTCACAGCTGGTATTTATTGTTTTCAATGGCAAGATCCTTGGTTGATCTCCCTCATGAAATTGGCCCAGACGTTCCCTAACATATTTCGTCTTTGAGAATTGTTTTCTAGCGCCTCCTCAAAATTATTTTAATTTAAATATTTTCGAGTGAAATGGACCCCCAATTTCCTCTGGCTCTTGATCACCTCCCTCGTAAGCCCCCCATCGTTCACAAGGGGGCGTTATCGTCCACTAGGAAGTCGAAATTTCCGCATCTCTCCATCTATTTCAAGTGTCACAACTTGTCAATGTAACTGTAAATTCCGAAAAACGCGCTGGTTTCTGAAATTTGCTTGTTTTCAGCAATCTGACAACCAGGCTGGATGTGACATTATATCAACACTATGTGGGTTCTTTCGAAAAAAATGTCACCTTGGAAGTAGCCGTCACTGCTTTCATGTTCACCTGTAGCAGCTGTGCGTGTTGCCTAAACGTCATTACACTTGAGCTATATGGTTTGGCTCTGGTGTGATGTAACAACTGCTTCAAAGATGGGACTAGTGGGATCCATTCATAGCGTTTGTGGAATAAGCTGTGTTCTAAATTTTTGCTGGAATGACGGCCGTTGTGCCATTACTCATAGGTGGCGCTCATAGCGAGCAGGTACGGCACTGGTATCACGTATCTTGAAAAGTGACATTATGCCGATTTTTTTTGACATTATGCTGTTTTTTTGACATTATGTAGATTTTTCTACAAGATATTAACTTAGCACTTAGTTGTACGTGTTGCCTAAACGTCACGAGGCTTGTTATCAATCTTTGGCTCTGATGTGATGTAAAATCTGCTTCTGAGATGGCCTTATTGGTGGTCTAAGCTGTAAGTTGTATGTGTTGATGATAATTACATTGGGTTCTTGTCTCAAATACGCTTAATTGAGATTCAAAGCTAGAAATTAGTTGAGCATCCACTTTTGCTCATCCATTCTGGACATTACATATACAAATTGCTGAATGAGAGAGATAAGAAATAATTATATTCACTGTACACTGTCGACTTACAAGCCATATACATGCTAACAGTAATTACACAACGCAGGCGCGGTGATGATTTCCCGTAATTCTCCTCAGTTTTTCATAATTTATAACTTTGAACATAACCTCTCTCCAGAAAGCACAACATAAAAATAACCCGTCGGGCACAGCCAATAGATATTCTTCATTAGCAGCATATTCATTAATGAAAAACTACAGACAAGGACCATTTAGCATCACAAAACATATGCAACCAATAATGCGTGTAGTTTAGTTGAGTGATTCCTCTATAGATGGACGTTCACAACGATCTTAGTGAGCAAACGTGGAATGACTGCTTGCGCCCTAAAAAACTACCTAGTCTGCAAGTTGATATCTTATAGGTTTTTTTTGACGTTTTGTAGGTTTTTTACATGATACCCGTGCGGAATGGGCCAGCGGCCTAGTACACAAGTTGACATTATACCGATGTTTAGTTATTTTAATTCGTTTTTTAATAATACTTATATTATAGTTTATATTTCATATCCTTACCTCTTGGTAACCAGTGCTTAACCTCACAACGTCGATAATCAAAGGACTAACCAATGAGAATATATTTGACAGACTGTTTGTGATTCCCATAAGAGTCCCAGCATGGACGGGTGACAAATCGATGTGGTTGACGTTATAGCCTGAGAAAACTGCAGAGTTGAAGCCCACAGCGGTCACCAAGAGGACTATAGCCCACACGTAGTGACTCTTCTCGACGAAACTTAAGCCTATTAAGGCCAAAGCTGGTACGAATAGGCCTGAGAAGGGAAAACTCATTTTATAGGTTGACAAGTTGAAACGTTTGGGTAGAGTATGAAGAGAGACTTCATTATTCAAAAAAGTAAAAAAAATACCCAGGTCTAATGAGCGTTAGGAAATTTTAAACCCCCCGTCAGTTTAATCGCCGAGCTGACATTAAATTCGAAACCTCCGTATTCGATTTACCCAGGAAACAATGACTTTTCAACCGAGTCATTGATACTAAGGATTTTTGAAAAAAATCTCGTAATTTTTATTTTCCTTTGTTGTGGCACAAGCAAACGAAGGTTGGTATATACAGGTAATTTGAGATGCTGAATTTGAATATAGCCTTCACAAAAAGACATTTGAAACTGTTTTCAAAAAATCGTTGTTTCTCCCAAACACGCGCGTCAGCCAAAAATATCTAAATCAACCGGCTAGCTCACAACTTATTTTGTTTTCTGTATTCTATGACTATGTATGCATGTATTCCAACCTTCAATTGACATAAAGGTGTAGAGATGGCTCAGCGTAGATGTTTTGCGGAGATGTTCTTTAGCAGTCGACCTTTTTTCGTAGTTAAAGATGGAATAAAATATCCCAAAAATACCGAACGATTTTACTTGTCCCCATAAAGTCCTCCAGAACATTTTATCTCCCAATGGACGTAAAAATCACCCAAACTTGGGGGAAAATCCCTCAATATGGCAACCCTGTAGTTAAAGGCTGTCCAAGGGTGTCTGAGGTTGAACGGATCTCACGTGACAGGATGCGCGGGCATGATGCGCAATCGGTTCTTGCTTTAAAAATGGCATTCGTAATATAACCTATACAGGGTGTTCCTTAATGATATGAGAATATTTAAGGGTGTGAATCTACATGAAAAATTAATGTTAGTTTGCTTCATAAACTATGGTCCAAAAATGTTTCTTTTCAAAAACACGGGGTGTTCAAGTTTCAGGTAAAAAATGGAAATTAAGTAATATTTTCAGAACCGCTTCAGATATTTCACTGGTATTCAGTACGTAGTGAAAGTTAATAAAGCTCCATATTTTTCAATGCAAAAATAATTTTTAGCTTTAAGAGTGGCGTGCGTACGGGTATTGACTTCGATATTTTTTAAGAAAAACATGGTACGCCAATGATTTTTTGCCAGAACGGTTTTTATTTTTTTATTAAAAAATGGCGCATCGGAGGAAAACAATTCGAGAGAGATCATTTGTTTTAAGTTAAACGGGGAATTCAAGAAACATTTTTATTTGGCAAAAAACCATTGGCGTACCATTTTCTTACCCGTACGCACGCCACTGTTAAAGCTAAAAATTATTTTTACATTGAAAAATGTGCAATTAACTTCCACTACTTACTAAATATTAGTGAAATATCTGAAGCGGTTCTGAAAATATTAATTAATTTCCTTTTTTTTTGTCCTAAGACTTCAACACCCCGAGTTTTTGTAAGGAAACATTTTTGGACCATAGTTTATAAAGCAAACTAACATTAATTTTTCATGTAGATTGACACCCTTAAATATTCACATATCATTAAGGAACACTCATAATTGAAATTATGAAATAATTACCAATGGAGTTGAATATTTTCCTACTGGTTCCAACTTTTACTCCTCTGATGATCAAGTAGTCTGCTATGTAGCTCATTACCAAACTTAGGAGCCACATCACTAGATAAGGCAACGCGGACAGTGTGCTATTCTGTAACCATAAAAAAAAATTAAAAAATCTTCAAATCAAAATATTTGCTATCGAACTTACAGATTTGATATCAAAATGTAAGATGTTTTGCATGTAGGAAGGGATTTCTGTGAGCAGCGTCCAAAAGCCAAGGTTTTGGCCACAGTGCGCAACCAAAACTCCCCAAAATGGTAGTGACGTGAATATCTCTTTCCATGGTGTCGGCACTTTCTAGAATCAAAGCTTTTTGTAAAAACTACAAAGCTAAAATAATTTTATGTTATCGAATAATATCGCTGTTTGCTGAAGATTTTAGTGGAAGAATTGTAATCTGTAGAATGATTTCTGTACGTGTCATCTATTACTTGAATCGACTACTGCGATAGTGAATAGCAGCTATCTCTTAGAACTGTTGAGGTATGAGGTAAATTACTTCCTTCCTTGTACATTCTGATAATATAAACAAGCACTTTAGCATCATTACCTTATAAACAAGCATGATATGTTCACAAAATTGTTGGTTTTCATCGAAAACAAAATCCGAAATCCCTATTCTGACCTACTCTACCATTACCTCTCCATCTGCTTCAGACTCAATCCCCGCCTCAATATATTCTCTTTCCTCTTTGGATATGAATTTATCAGTAGCAGGACTATTACTACCAATCAAAAACCAAATGACAGCCCAGATCATTCCTAAGGCTCCGTACAGGTAGAATACGACAGGCCAGCCTACTACTGAACTTGATATGAAACCAGCGATCGGTAGGGATATCACTGTGCCCAAGGGCCCACCTTAAAAAACAAAATCAAACAATGTATTATTTACCGGCGATGTGTAAATTTCTCAGCGGATGCGGTTTAGGATATCTATCGACCTATATGGCGCCTATGTCGCACTGAGGCGGCGTTGGAAACGATCGTATGACGCGAATGCACAGTGAGCATACACGTCCACACAGCCCGAGGCATGCGAGACGAACCATTCGCGACGCACGACTCCTGGAAATATGACTCCATTATCTGGCCGCTGTCATATTTTTATATGAATGGCAAATGTATGGAAAATACAATCCTCTATCTTCAATTTCTCCAAAAAGAATCTGCATCAGTTTCTTCAATAAAAAAACTTACCCGCATATACGAAACTGCCTATCTTCGCCCTATCCTCTAGCGGTGTCCAAGCACTGATAAGGTTATGTCCACAGGGGTAGATGAACCCCTGAGTAAGTCCGGTGAGTATCCTACAAGCCACTACCCCTTGATATCCGAACCAGTGTCCGCAAAGTGGTACCAAAGCACAGAAGGCGGAACCTATGAAAGCTGCTCCACCTATCAGCCATTTGGGGCCATAGTTCTTAGCCATTTGGCCTACGCCTATTTGCAGGATGATGTAACCCCAGAAGAATGAGGATAGCATTACGTTCTTCTTGTCGGACCATTCCGGATAAGTCTGCGAACGTTTTTTTCATTATTATAGAACCAAGGAACTCAGACTAGGTAGAAGCAAAGGATACGGAGTTACCAGAAGAAAAACCACTCCATCAAAAAACATATTCAGCCGCTCTGGTGGCCGAAATGCTACCTGCCATTTGGACGCGATCAGCCATTCATTACCTGCGGAAATAGTCCAGGAAATATCTCGGACAAATGTTCTGATTATACTACAACTATTTAAAACTGTAATGACTCATACGCGTGATCAACACGTGATCAGAGCTCGATCCCGGCTTCCTTCCAGTACAGCCGTATAGCGTACGACATATGTCGTTTCTGTGGCTTTGCGGTGGTCAACAGCACAGGCAGAGATGGAAATAATGGCTGATTGTTCTCCGCCGGTAAAACCAATGAAATTAAAGACGCGCCTCGACCGGCAGACTCATAGGCGTCGGCAACGCATTGGAACGTGTTTCGTTGAGCGATCGCATATTGTGTGTTTTTATAAGAATTGTTGTGTGATTGTTATTGTTGTGGTTTCTGTGGTTACTGTTTTGGTTATACTCAACCATGGAGAGTACAAATGGCACGAGTGGAAGTACTGAAAGCCAGGGAACAAGTAGACGACTTCGTAAAGCACTGAAGAGGGACGCGAAAGAAATCGTGCTCAACGTGTTCAATTATCTGAACAGAACTATGTCGCAGGGAGATGTACTCGCGCGTTGTGAAAGTATGACAGGCGTTCCAGAGTGGACCATTCGCAGGGTGGTGCATGAAAAGAAGAAAACTGGAGCTACTGCTGATCCAAAGTTTAATTTGAAGGGACGAAAGGTCGTTAAATTGGATGACGATAGCAAAATGGCATTAAGGCGAACCGTACATTCATTCTTCTTTAGGAATGAGATACCAACCCTCAAGGCTGTACATGCAGCGATCAAGGAAAATGAAATTATACCCCAAATGAGCGTCGAGGTAATGAGGAAATCCCTGCACGAAATTAATTTTCGTTACGAAACGCGTAATCGAAAGTCAGTATTGATAGGGAGACCTGAAATAGTCGCCTGGCGTCGAAAATACCTACGCGAAATGATTGAATATAGGCGACAAAGCAGAAAAATCTAGTATTTGGACGAGACATGGGTAAATGCAGGTCACACAGTTAAAAAAACCTGGATAGACAAAAACGTAGTGAGTAACCGACAAGCAAGCATTGAAGGTTTGTCAACAGGTCTTCGTGGACCGTCAGGGAAAGGTCAAAGATTGATCGTAACTCATATTGGTAGCGATAGTGGCTTTTTAGAAGAGTGTGACTTGATTTTCGTCTCTAAGAAAGGAGGTGATTACCATGAGGAAATGAATGCCAGCTGCTTCGAGAGCTGGTTTCAAGGGGTGCTTCAGCGAGTTGAGCCCAACTCTGTGATCGTCATGGATAATGCTTCCTACCATAGTCGTCGAGCCGAACGTGTACCGACTATGGGATCTCGAAAAAGTGACATGCAGAAATGGTTGCGCGAAAAAGGAATCCCGTTTGACGATTCATGTGTGAAAGCGGAATTGTATGAAAAAATTAAACAGCACAAACCTGCGAACATTAGTTACGTGACTGATGAGATGGCCCGTCAATGTGGTGTCACTGTGCTGCGGTTACCGCCCTACCACTGTGAACTGAACCCAATAGAGCTCATCTGGGCTCAAGTGAATAGTTATATTGCGCGCCATAACACAACCTTCAAATTACCAGACGTTAAAGTTTTACTTGAGACTTCCATACAGCTAGTAACGCCCGAAGCTTGGCAGAATGCTATCCGTCATGTTGTGAAGGAAGAAACAAAAATGTGGCAGCTTGACCACCACATCGACACCATCATAGAGCCAGTTACAGTCAATTTCAACGAGGAAAGCGATAGCGACAGTTTATTACTGTCAGATGTAAGTGGAAGCGACGATGAATAAAGGTAATTCCCAAATTTTTAACTTACAATATGTTTCAAACCACTCTTTATTAAGCATGTGACAAATCTAGTTCACCCATGTTAAACATTCATACCCCGCCTATGAACAGCCGACTACTGGTAGTTAAGTGATGTTCACGTGAACATCGAAGAGTCATTACAGTTTTAGATAGTTATAGTATAGGTTTTTTGAACAATCTCGATTAATAAAAATTGTTGATGCAATTTCAAGACTAGCAACATGCAGATTTATTAAAAGGGTTTTTTTAAAGGAGGTACGCGAAAAAACAATAAAAATACGTTTCTCAGCAGATACGAAGATATTTCCTGTATTATAACTACCCAGGTAGTCGATGGCCGGCCCTCGGAAGTGAGTCGTGTGGCTGTTGGATGTGTACAGGGCGATTCACTATGATAAGTTGGTGGTGCGTGCCTGGATGCAAAATAAACTAGCGAAATGATGTTCCGATGCCTTGCTAATGATCTTAGGCAAGTAACGTTATTCCAGCATATTTGGAATCTGTTTTTTTCATATAGGAGCTCAGGTCGAAGTGCAATTGACGGAGGAGATTCATCCAAAATTTATCTTTGATTCATGAGTGTACCCACTGTCAAAAACGTAATATCACAAAAATGTGATATGTAGTTTTACTTATAATTTCCAAAATAACCCGTGATCAATTTGGATGCTTGATAGCGCCTTTTCGGAGCCAGTGAAAGAATTGCTTGTCTCCTAATTCTTATAGTAGTGAGGATCAAGGTGCATACTACAAGTGCACTTGACATAAGTTAATTTTTTAATAGCGCTGAATTCGTATTTTTAGTACATATTCCTTTTTAAAAGTCGCAATATTGTCAGAACAGCTATGAGAACCCGCGGTGTGTAGTAGTATTTATTCCCGCCACACCCCAGAGCTTTTTTTGCATAGTGCCACCATATTTTGAGTACCCTCCTATAGTGCCATTCTATTTAGATTACCCGTTTCAAAGCCAACAAGTGAGGCTGACACCAGCAAGGAACCCCAGGAGTCTAGAATCGAAGACCAAGAAGGCATCAACCATCCGAGCTGAGGCATTAGACATTTTTTAACAGGGTTGTCAGCCAAACGAGTATTTACTTCCCACGCCACTGGCGAGGAAGTATTGCAGTTGCGGAAAAAAATTCGATATGCTATTAAAGTAATTTCCTTGAATATTTAGTTTAATTAAGGGCGTTTATTATCAAGATATATACTTTTAAATTTAAATGAAATAACTCATCAAAAATAGACAAATACTTTTACCTACACTGATTAAACAAATTTAAAAAGTGTGATCAAATTGATTTGCTTGGAGCAGGTAAGCTCATTCTAAGAGTTCACTAATATACTAAGTGACATATAAATCCGAACACCCAGTTTAAATGGTTTTATTTTAATAAAAGTTGGTGAATGTATTTATCTTACTGTAAATAACAAGTGAAAAAATGTTCAGCCTTATCAGTTGGACATTCCGGTTTTTATACTGCTTTTTTTTAATTCACTAACGCTCTAAAAATGAATATTTCAGCCGCAGTAAAGAATCAACGTTGGCGGATTTTGGTTCTTGACATCCTTTACGATCGGTTACGATGCCTAGAGTACGGAGACCTGTACGATTTCGTCAACTTAGTGAGTTTGTTAGGGGCCGTATAGTGGGACTTCGGGAAGCTGGACTTTCTTTTCGGGCAATTGCAGTTAGAGCAAAGAAGTGTAGACACTGTGGTTAGGTGTTGTCAGGCATGGCTTCGAGAAGGCCGTACGCAAAGAGCAAGGGGCACTGGACGCCGCCGTAGAACAACAGACCGTGAAGATCGCCGCCTAAAATTATTGGCCTTAAGGGACCGTTTCTCCACTACCAGGTCCATTGCAAATGAATGGTTTGCAGAACACGGAAGACCTATTCACATGCGAAGTGTTTACCGACGAATGAGAAGTTTTGGCTTGTTTTCATACCGGCCACACTGGGTCCTCCCTTTAACTCGAGAACACCGACGTAATCGCCTTGAGTGGTGCAGACAACGGTCACTCTGGGATCAGGAATGGAACAGTATTGTCTTTAGTGACGAGTCTCGATTTTGTTTAGGCATGCACGATGGTCGTGCCAGGGTTAGAAGGCGACGTGGTGAAAGGAGGAATCCCCAGTTTTTTGTTGAAAGACATGTTCATCACACTGTTGGAGTTACGGTTTGGGGCGCTATAGCTTATGGTTCCAGGTCACCTTTAATCTTCATCAAAGGTAACATGAACGCGCAGCGTTATATCCACGAAGTTCTAGAACCCCATCTTTTACTCTATCTTGACACCCTGGCAGATCCAACATTCCAACAAGATAATGCCCGACCACATGTTGCAAGAGTCACAATAGACTTCTTTCAACATAATGATGTCACATTGTTACCATGGCCACCAAGATCTCCCGACTTATCCCCAATTGAGCACGTGTGGGATATGATGGGTAGGAGATTGCTCAATTTGCAACGTCCTCCTCAGACTCTAGAAGCACTTCGAGAGGAGTTGGTAGTTGCCTGGAATGAGATACCACAGGAGGACATTGACCATCTGATCAGAAGCATGCCTAGGCGCGTTGGAGAATGCGTAGCACATCAGGGTGCATCCACACATTATTAAAGGTCAAAGGGCTTCATTAAGTACTTATACAACATACAACATTTTATTAAAATAAAACCATTTAAACTGGGTCTTCGGATTTATATGTCACTTAGTATATTAAATAAATTGGTGAGTTTTGATTTAATTAAATTAGCTTCCCAGATTCTAGTAAACTATATTAGAAATAGTAGCTTAATTACACTAACTAATCTTGTTAGCTGTCACAAAGTTAATTGAGTTTTTTAATTGGCATATTTAAAATTTTAATTGGTTTCATTAATTTATTTTCTCAGTGTGCTATGCTAAGGACGAAAAAGATTTATAGGATTCGGAAATCGCTTCAGTGGCGGCGTAGCTAGGCCAAAAGACGAAAAAATGAAAATGCCTAAACTTTTTGATGTCTACAGGCTCCTCGTCATTAAACAAAAATCAAGGGGTTCAAATTGTGGGTTTGGGTTGTACGTACGTGCACAGAACCTTGTCTGTGCTTGACCGCTCAGCGCGCACCGTTAGCATGACTGACTGGTGTAGTTCAGCAACGTTGCCAGATGGCCCATACTTTCGGTAGGACAGGCGTTATCGAAAAGAATTTTATGGTCCAGTTTGGCTGACTTGATCCATTCAATTTTTTTCACTCTTTATTGACGCAACCGCTCACTAAAATGCTGGGATACACCACATTATTGATATTCATATCCTGACCTCTGATGAGTTCTAGTCTGCTGTGATTTTCCAGATATTTTAACATGTACTTACAGGTATATCCCTATTATGCGGGTCCGGATCTATCATAGCATAGATCGTCACGCTTAGAATAGAACGTATTCCATAAGCTAGATTCAAAATGCTGAACAACAGGAAATACTGTATGTGCCTAACACCCAAACAACTTGCTGAAACAAAGTATTTCTAACTTCAATGCCAGTATGACATGGAAATAAATATGTCAATAAATTGAAACTGGAAATATAGTATGTACCGATTGTTGATAAAGTTAATTAAAGGGCACGTTAAACGCACAATCTTTTTCTTATACTCCAATAAAGAGTTTTCTATTCTTATACAGTTTCATTATCACACAGTTCATAAAAAATATGCAAAAGTGCTTCAGATGTTCTTTGCACCGCCTTCTTGATAAGGCAAAACAGGCCTTATTTTTTATTTAAAAATGTGCAGTAGCTAATGTTACGTAACTGACATCCTATCAATTGAATAATACTCCACTCACCTGGTTTTTCAGCCTTATCTGATTCGACAGTCATAGTGAGAGATGTAATCACTGTTCTGTATGAATTGCAAGTGAAGCTAAAGGGAATTTTACCATGCTATCGACTATAAACAAAAATCTATAGATAAATGTTGGGTTCAAGAATGAATACGATCTTTGATAAGTTATTATATTTCTTTAATGATCTGTATCAGATATGTTCAATACCAACACAGTTTAACCCAGTCAAACTAGAAAATTGGTGTAAAATTGTTGCTTGATTTTCGCGACTTTTGCTATAGTACAAAATAATTTGTCTTCAAAGTATGCTAGGAATACTAATGGGAAATTATGTATTAATGAAAATATCTTAAAAGTATCTACCATTTTCAGAATTATAAAACGTAATGTGTGTTCGGTGGTAGCAAAAATAGGGTCGTAAACGGGTGGTTTTAAATGAATACGCAACCCGTCGGAAGGTGCACTCGTTTTATTTGATAAGAGAAATACAGACAATACGAGGGATGTCTTTTAAGTTTTGCATATGGAAATAATACAACACGGTAGGTAGTTTTAAATGACTTTATTGTTTTTCGAAGTATTCTCCACGAAGATTAATACACATATCTTCATGCGCTAGAACCAATTTTCGAAGCACTTATTCCACTCGTTTCCTGCCAGATCCAAAACGGCAATCTTGAATGCGTCAACTGCTTCTTCTGGTGACTGGAACCTTTGACCACGCTGTCTGTTTTCAAATTTCGGGAAATTAAAGAAATCGTCAGGACTTAGATCGGGACTATATGGAGGATGGTCCAATAATTCCACGTTTTCTTCCGTTAAATACTGCCTTGTTTTTTGGGCTGTGTGTGAGCTTGCATTGTCTTGGTGGAGGTTGATTCTTCTTTCGGGGTTGATTTTTCGAAGCTCGGTGATGAATTTTGGCAAACAAATGGTGGTATACCAGCCCGCAATAACAGTTCTTTGCTCATTAAGAGGAATTGTTGCAATATGACCCGCTTTTGACACAAATGTCGAGACTATCTTTTTCGAAACACTTCGAGAACGGATGACTTTTGTTGGCTTTTCTTCACCTGGAACACCCAAACAGCCGACTGTCATTTATTTTCTGGTTGATAACAGTAAATCCACGATTCTTCACCACTAACAATGCTGAAATTTTTTTGAATTGAGGTCTTTGAGATCCTCAAGGACGCCTCAATCTCGCGATATGTCACATGTCTATCTTCAATGATGAGTTTGCGCACAGCATCGACGTTTTCCTGGATGACTGCCGTTTTTGTCTCTGAAAGTTGTAATAAATTATGGCGCGAAAATGTTCTCGGTTGAGTTCCATTTTTCTAATGACTTGGTGACACTTAAGAATTCACTGTAGTGAGAACACTGCACGTATTGTTGTGAAACTTTGAATTTAAGTTTACTAAAGAGTGAGGTTAAGATTCAGTACTGACGTTCGATCCGCGCGGCCTGCTATGTTTCTATATGCAAAACTTAAAAGACATCCCTCGTAAAAGCTTTGAATACCGACGATAGACTACCAAAAATATCCCAGCGTGCTTGGCTAAGAACTTTACGAGCAATTAATATCAGATATTTGAAGAAGAGGAATAGCACTTCGATTGAGCGGGGAATATTTGGAAACAATACGCAGTATTCGGATAATGAGAAGACAGAAGATTTATTATTTGGATGAGACATGGTTTAATGAAGGTCACACAGTTGCTAAATATTGGCAAGATCTAAACTTCATCGTAGACAAGCGCATAGTGATGGATTAAGTACAGGTTTTCAACGTCCTACAGGTAAGGGTCGTCGTTTAATTATTACTGATATTGGAGACGATCCTGGCTTTGTAGATGACGGATTGAGCGTCTTCGAATCACGAAGAACTGGAGATTATCATGAGGATATGAACGGACAAGTGTTTGAAGATTGGTTCAAAGCAGTGTTACCAAAATTAGAACCCGATTCTGTGATTGTCCTAGATAATGCTTCATTCAGAGTCAGTTGCAGACAATTTTCCCACTTTAAAATGGAGAAAGTTAGACATTTATAATTGGCTAGTGTCAAAACATATACCTACCATGCGACATGAAGATACTCAAAGCAAAGTTGATGCAAATCGCTCGTCAGAACAAGGGTAGGTACCACGATATTGGTGGTAGATGAAATAGCAAAGAAAAAGGATTTGTGGTTTTGTGATTACCTCCGTACCGCTGCGAATTGAAGCCAATCGAGTTGATAGGGGCTCAAATAAAAAGCAAGGTAGCGCGTAAGAATACTACTTTTAAGATGGCAGATGTTCGTATTCTTTTGGAAGAGTCTATTAAGGGTGTAACTGGTGACACGTGGCAGAATTGCATAAGGCATATAGTCAAAGATGAGGAAAAGTTCCGGCAATTGGACCATTCCATAGAGCGGATAATCGGATCAGTGATAATTAGCTTAAATGACGACAATGATAGCGACAGCACTGACAGTGACAGTTCCTGCTCGAATACTGGTGGGTCATAAAACAGCAGCGCAGCTGATTATCATTTGTTCAATTGAATATTCATTTATTTATTAATTTATTTATATTTGCATCTATTTACGCTATATATTATTCATAGTCGTTGTATATTTGTTTTTAATTTTTGAATAATTAGAATTTATGGTTTAATTTGTGTGCGTCTTTCAGAGTTTTTAATTTTTGCGAGTTATATTTTCAAGTTTTAGAGATTAATCATATTTATACAACAAAACCACTATCTACTCCCGTGGAGTGTATGTTCTAGTTTCATTGTGTTTCGCTGGTTTTCCACAGTTATCATGAAAAATGTTACAGACCATGTTCGGGGTGCTGGCATCCCGACCTAATTATCCATGATCAATGCTGTTCAGAAGAGGTCTGTCCACCTGTCCGACGACTCTTCTTTTAACGGACAGTCTAGGGCCCCTTTCGCACCGGCAGGCCATCGGCGATCTGGCTCTCTTCTACCGCTATATCAACGGGCTTTGCTCCTCCCAGCCTTCCTCCACGATGCCGCTGCGCGATGAGCCTACCAGACACGGGTATCACGTATCTTGAACAGTGACATTATGCCGATTTTTTTGACATTATGCTGTTTTTTGACATTATGTAGGTTTTTCTACAAGATCTTAACTTAGCACTTAGGCCCGTATCGTTAGTCGTCCCTACAATTGTAGGGCGCGTTTCTGGCCTCCTTGATTGTCATAGTTTTATACTTCTCCGTGTCAGAGCTCTATTTTGAGGTTATGTCACAAACATCTATTTACATCAAATTGTGCTTGCTTTTGAGTTATATGATGTTTTATCAGCCTGAAATATCCTACAATTTAAAAAGAAAACATATCTTCACAATAGGAGAGCGCTGACGCTGACACGGGACGAGTGTAATCTAGAAATTTTTGAGGAGAGAAAAGGGTATGACAATCAAGGAGGCCATAAACGCGCCCTACAATTGTAGGGACGACTGACGATACGTATTGCCTAAACGTCATGAGGCTTGTTTTCAATCTTTGGCTCTGATGTGATGTAAAATCTGCTTCTGAGATGGCATTACTGGAGGTCTAAGCTGTAAGTTGTATGTGTTGATGATAATTATATTGGGTCCTTGTCTCAAATACACTTAATTGAGATTCAAAGCTAGAAATTAGTTGCGCATCCACTTTTTCTTATCCATTCTGGAAATTACATATACAAATTTGCTGAATTTAAAAAATGAGAGAGATAAGAAATAATTATATTCACTGTACACTGTCAAATTACAAGCCATATACAGTAATTACACACAACGCGGGCGCGGTGATGATTTCCCGTAATTCTCCTCAGTTTTTCATAATTTATAACTTTGAACATAACCTCTCTTCAGAAAGCACAACATATAAATAACCAGACATATTCAGGATATTCAGTAATCACTGATTTTATACACATATACCAATACACATCATGATCCAGATGCGATCTTGTTACTCATCCAACTTTCTTCTCAGAGATAAAAACTACAGACACGGATCACTTAGCCTCAAAAAACTATGCAACCAATAATGCGTGTAGTTTAGTTGAGTGATTCCTTCATAGATGGACGTTCACAACGATCCTAGTGAGCAAACGTGGAATGACTGTTTGCGCCCTAAAAACTACCTACTCTGCAAGTTGACATCTTACAGGTTTTTTTTGACGTTTTGTAGGTTTTTTACATGATACCCGTGCCGTCCGGCTTAGGCCTCCGATTCTAACCATATCGAACTTCCTACACATGGATGATTTTCTGGAGAACTGCCCGATATGACAGCTCTTCTGTCCCTAGGGTGTCGAGATTGTGGAACATTCTGCTTGAGGAAGTTTTTCCCCGCTACCCCGGCAAATGACACAGAACTGCGCATCATTTTTCACCACTACAAATGTCTAATACTGTCGTCTGTTGCTGAAAATTTGAGATTACTGACTAATGATATTACTAAATGTTTAAAAAATAGGACTGTTTCGATCCATTACTCCGTAGAGTATTACTTTATTCAAATTCTCCAAGCCTTCTCGACTCTACTCTTAGAGATAAAAGATCTTAGGTGTTTACCAAATATCCAGCCGTGCAATTCTTAGGACCAACCATGTTTAAATCTAGTCGCTTATCTGAATCGTTTGATATGTATCTTTTTTCTCTTATTTCACTGGTCTATATGCAAAAACAATGCGCGCATGGTTCAGGTTCATTGTACAATGATTAGCGAAAGCAGGAGCGCGAAACAGGGTCAAATCGTATTATTATTCTTTTTCAGTAAACTTTAATAATTTACTGCTACCAGAAGTGTCAAAAGTTAATACGTAAATCTATTTCATACATATTGTTCTTTCGGAATGTTTTTTTTTTGTTTTCAAGCGTATTTCTTGTTTTTTGGTTCGTATATGATATTGATATTAACGAACTCTGATTCAATGAAAATATTGAAGAACTAATGGTAAAACCATACAGGGTGTTTGGTGCATCGTTTGCCAAATTGAAATCGCGGACAGAGGAGGTCTTTTTCTATCACCCCAGGTCCCTCAAATAGTTTTTAGCCCAACGGCATTAATTATGTAGATTTTTTAAATTTTTTTTAGTAAAAACTCCAAAATGTAATGCACAAAGTGAAAAAAAAAATAAAGAGTATGTCCACCTAATGATTAATTTATCTTAATGGGTAATGATGTACCAATCTTACAAAATCAACATTACTTGCCAGCAGCATGCAGTTTTTTAAATAGAGATATTACTGTAGTCAAGTATCACTATTCAGTTTTTGTTCACAAATTGCTGCTAAACCTTATTACTTGAAGGAAAAAAATTCATTTGATAATGATGTTCACTGTAGAACTCTCAGAGAAAATAATATTAGAATACCCCTACATACGTCTACACTTTTTAAACGCAGTTTTTCTTACAATGTTGCTATTATTTATAATGACCTTCCTAAAGTATATAAAGAATTTTCATTACCTGTCTTTCGACAAAAAGTTAAAACATTATTACTCAACCCTCCAAACATATAATTTACGTAATCATTCATTTCTTTTTTATTCCATCTTTAATTCAGATTAATAATTTTTTGGTGCATTTGGGTTTGGAAAGTATGCCTTTTTCTCTTTTTTTAAATTTTACTTTCGATGCAATGAACCAAATCTGTTTGTTTGAACATCTGCTAGAGACTATATGGTTAAGTGTAAGAGTAGCAGCATGCTAAACTTCGCCATGTAAGTCTGACATTTGGCTATACTACAATGTAATTGTGGATAAATAAAGCTATTATTATTACTATCATATGAATTACTCCGAAATTTTGTTTGCTTGTGTCATACAGGTTGTAGAGAAAATCTTCAATATTTTTTCCATGCAAATTTTCGGTATAATTATGACCATAATTTTCTGAGTAATTCTCTTGTGTGTAAAACGGCTCTTAAACCAGGTCACTGATTATACTTTATCTGGCACGAACTCATCTCGTCATGCGCGGCAGCTGCTGGGAAAAAGCTAGGCGGTATGTTTAGGGCTAAGAAGTACTCCACATTATACAGGCGAGTGAAGATTCTAGCGCCACCTATCAGACAGTGGCAGCATCAAACATTCTAATTGGATTTAGGTACACCTACTAAATTGGCAATCCAAGAGATTCTGAAGGGTCGCGGGGCCGATTTTGGGATAGAAAATAAACCATTATGCAATCCCAGTCGGTCTAGCCCAAAATTCGTATTGGATTCGAAATTTAAATAACCGATTTAGCTACAAAATTTTCCCTTTATCACATCCTAAATACCGGTAAGGCTTTTTGGCGAGCAAAATTTCCATTTTCGTTCTGTTTTATGGCTACAAACGAACTGAACTTGGTAGGTTCAGGTAATTTGGGACTCTGATTTCAAATATGATCGTGAAGAAACGTCTTGAAGTGGGATCAGATTTGGGGTAGAAAATGAACCTCCTGGGATCTGAACGTCAAATTGATCTCAGATCTTTTGGCTTAAGTATATGTGCAGCTTGTTTTAGCCATCATTTTAAGTAATTCAAGAAAACATTTTGAGTGCAGGTAAGCTCAAATAAAAAATACAAGAATCTCATATAGTTTTTATGAATATATTGGACTTGCAAATGTATTGCAGAAATATAAAACATTTAAAAGAGTAAACAAGTAATGTGTACTGGTTGAATATGTTAATCAATGGTATCATGTACAATATGATTTTGATCATATTTCATTTAGTTATAGATTTTCTGTTAAATTCAGGGCAGAAAAGTTTAAAAAGTAAAGATTACATCAGTCCTTTCAAAAAACACATTTTTCCTGCCTCTAAAGATATTCATTGCATAAACAATACAAATCAGTGACTTGAGTGTTTTTGCTTGAAATGGCCATGTTCACACATAGATCTGATAAACATTTCACTGTTTAATATGTCTTGCCCAACAAATTCGATTAGATTAGAACAAGCATACAATACAATGCATTGTTTGTTGCCAAAATTGCATAGTTTTAGTGCATATTTTTGACTCACTTTGCTACTAATGCCTACCAAAGTGACAGCATTGCATCAAAACAATAATATTTAACGGTAGAAACTTCTACCTTCTTTTTGCAGAAACCATGTCTTAAAATCAACTAGTATCACAATTATTTGCAAACACTAGACTTGCACTTAAAAAAAACAAAATATGAATTTAATGACAGAACTGGTTAAAAATCAAATTATGCCAAGGGCACTTGTAGTCACTTTAATCCTCACTACAGACTACGAGAATTAGGAGACAAACAAATCCTGGCTAGTCTGAATTCTGTGTTTTTGCATAATAATTCAACAAACATTTATTGCCAAAACAATGTTATGAACAGTCTTTCATGTTTTTTTTTTTACTATGATTATTGATACTCTGTGAAGATTATTTGACGTATCGCCAAAGTGACAGCATTGCATCAAAACAATAATATTTAACAGTGGAAACTTCTACCTTCTTTTTGCAGAAACTTTGTAAGAACAACCATGTCTTAAAATCTACTAGTATCACAATTATTTGCAAACACTAGACTTGCACTTAAAAAAAAACAAAATATGAATTTAATGACAGAACTGGTTAAAAATCAAATTATGCCAATGGCACTTGTAGTCACTTTAATCCTCACTACAGACTATGAGAATTAGGAGACAAACAAATCCTGGCTAGTCTGAATTCTGTGGTTTTGCATAATAATTCAACAAACATTTATTGCCAAAACAATGTTATGAACAGTTTTTCATGTTTTTTTTCACTATGATTATTGATACACTGTGAAGATTATTTGACGTGTCAGTATTTTAAAACTCAAATACCTTATGAAGGCAAAAGAAGTCCTTTAAAAATTGTTCATATGAGTATGACAGTGTTGTTTTGATTTTAGAAAATCCAATTAAATGACACTCAATCTTGATACTACAGAAACATAAGACAAATTATTATTGCTTATTCAAGTAATCATGGAATATAACCACAATCATATACACACAAGTACCAGTAGTAAAAAAATATATACAAAATAAGTAGTCTCATAAAACTTATTCTTCAGTTGAAAACTTTGGCTTCAAAGCTCTCTCCAAATCATTGACAGCCTTGTCTAACTGTGCGAACAATGTTTTCAAAGAAGTTTGGATATCATTGTACTGCTGCAACGAGTTCAAAACTTTCATCGTAACCTGTCTGCTTTCCTCATACAAGGTCAAGTTATTGCTTGCGTACTGTTCCAACTTCCCTGACAGCTCGACTACCTTCAGGATATTCGAGGAATCGATGAAAGGTACCAGGTTCTCGAAATTCCCTATGATCTGAACAGTGCCTTTGAGCTCTGGGTATAACTCCAACAGATAATGTCTTTTGGCTTCTACTTCGAGCTCACTGGCTTCCGTACTGGGGTCCAGGTACTCGTTGATAGTTGTCATATGTTGGAGGATCGAAGTGATTGCTTCTCTACAGCTTAAGGCCGATGTGATCATAGTTTGGGTCTGTAGGAGGAGATCTGTTATGGTTTGGGTTTTGTTGGCCTCCGAGTTTGGATTTTCTGGAAGAACTTGTAGTTCTAGGGCTGCAATGCGTTTTTCTAGCAAATCAATCGCTTCCATTTCGATTGTTTTAGCTTTTTACAGGAGTTTATTGACTTTCTCTTTGAATATTTTTGTTACGGTTGTTGTTGACACTTTCTAATTTGACGAATGTTTTGAGAACTACAGAGTGACATTTGATTGAAAAGGATTAAGCTAAAAATGGGTAACTCGAGTCACCATCGATCTGTCATTTATAACCACGCCCATCTCTAGGGTACAGTGCCGGATCTTGGACCTTTTATCGACACTATGCTGTATTTGAGCGTTCTAGAAACAGCTACCATTATTATATTATATATAAAAGATGCCCAATCTATAGGCTGCATCCAAATACAATGCTTCAAAATGTTTACATACAAACTTCCATCGTGACAGCCATGTCGCCAAGTAGGATCGCAGTAAGGTAATAAAAACATTTTCTTTGAAAGAAAATTGTTTATTCTTAAACACGATCGCAAATTTCCAAAAAAATATCATCCTTTAATCCTGATCGTAATTATTCATGAGATCTGAATCAGTATCTATTAATGGTTCAAATTCGAACCTCTTTTGGGATCCCGGGAAGGGTTAGAATGTCACACGATCAGTATTTACTGTTGTCCGTACCATCAGTGGATTTCTGCGCAACATTATGTATCAATAATTACTGACGTTCAGGCTACACGGTCAATAAATATCACATCTCATGATAAATATACAAGTTGCGTAGGTAAATAAAAAAATGGAATATGGACAGTTTGTAAAGTATTTCCGAATTTCCTCTAAGCCGTTTTTATTTTTTCTTGGCTTTAGTCTGAAACAAAACTATTCAAACATCCACATTGTCTACAAATTTCAAAGAAATTACATAATAACCTTAACACTTTTCTCTTCTACACGGTAGCACAATTAGAATTTCGATCTGACGTATTTGGTATTATACCGTTTTCGATGTCTTCATTATTACCCTTAAATAATATAAAGGAGCTTCATTATGTTGTTCCTCACTCAATGAGCTTAAACCAACTATATGAAGTTAGGTACTTGGAGTTTTATATCAATGTGTTATCATCTTTGATGTTCTATGAAGTAAATGACTATATGATAATTTCAAGGCTCACTCAAGAAATTTTTGTTTTATAATAATATTTAACATAATACTTGAAATCAGAAATTCGTCTACGCAAAAATGGAATACATAAGAAAAATAAAAGTTGAGACGAGAGATTAGAGATGAAAAATATATTCTATTTATGCCACCTTGCAGAGATTAAAAAGTGGCAATGTCAATGCGGTCCTATCTCAAATAAATCCAGAATATTTTGGGAAAATTCGTTTCCTTTTCCGTGAATCTCCGGAAGCGTCAAAACTATTCAAATGCAATTAATAAAATATATAAATACGCAACTTTGCCACCATTTAACCGACCCGCATGGGTATTATGTAAAAAGCCTGAAAAAAGTCATCAAAACCGACATGTCATCTTGCAGACTAAACTGAATCCAAATTCAAGATGAGATGTAAGTGATAACAGTTAGCGCGTGATCTCTCGGTAACAGGTGGGGACAGCACCTCTTATTGGTCAATTCGCCATTAAGTTTCAAGCGGTCGCCTGGCGGAATAATGCGCGAGGCAGGGACAGGGCAGGCAGAGTTGCATTCAGGCCACCGACCGTCGCGTGTATCACTGCGTGCTCGTGTTTTCGTATTCACCTTGCTTAGCGTAGCCCTGAATGCGGCCTTGTACGCCGTCATTGCTTTTGACAATCACGCATCCATTCTATCTTGGGTGTAAATACACTATAGGTAGTTTTTAGTGTGAAAATGGTTCGTTCCACGTTTGTTCGCAATGATCGTTGTCAGCGTCCATCTATGGAGGAATGACTCAACGATACGGCACGCTCAAGCATGCATTGTTGGTTGCAGAAAGCCGAGTGTATATGTTTTGTGGAGTCGCGTAGTCTGAGAAGATGTGAAAGAAATTTGAGTAGCAAGATCGCATGATCCCAATGCTCCTATAGACTTGAAAACGCACCCACAATTTTTTATTTAGAGCTGAAGGACCTTTGCGTTCTCTGTAGAGAATATATAAATCCTGCTGTACAATTTTCTTTAACCAGGGCTCACGTTTGCCTTGGTTGAATGTTTAAAAAAAATTATCCTAGAAGTTTTACATATTCATCTGAATTGTCAAATCGTTATGGAATATTCTATATAATCGAAATGCAAATATAAAGAAAAATATCAACCATATATACAATGTGTTCGGTCACGACATACCGATATTTGAGGGGGATATGTTTCAGATATTTTTATCGACAAATCCACCCCCTACAATGTCATACCTCACCCCCCCTTGAAGTTGACGTGGGAGATCGTTCACTCAGCATCACTGACAGTTGTACTCCAGAGCTTGCACAGACCGTTCCGTATTTTTACTGGATACAGTTTTTTTATCAAATTACTAAGCATGTCATCCTCAAGTGATGAGGAAACTATAGAAAATAAATGGCAACGACCTGCAGTTCATCGCAGATGAAATTGCCATTGCTCCCATTATTTTGCAAAAGTCACAAGTTCCAAAAATAAAAATGAGAAAGGACGATGCCTTGAAGAAGATGTTGAAAGGCTTATTATATAATCATATATACTCATCAACATGAAATCAAGATTGAAGAAAAAAACAGATCTAATAAAAAAACGGGTAATAAAGCAATTAAATTGTTAGATTGGGAAAGAAAGTTGCTGAAAGCTATGGAAGGTGACTGTAATCCTACAGCTGGGAAAATTAGAGGTGCCATTCAGGTTGGTAGTGTTCAAGAAGAAGGAAGTGAACTATATACCGAGCACAGTGAGCAAACTGTTAGTACTACAGCGCCAGCAATTCAGAAGACATTGCCGCCAAAAAGAACATTAGCAACAGAGAAATACGAAACTGAGGAAACCAAAGAGTTAACTACAAAAGAACTGCAACGTCTAGTGCTATTACAGCAGTACCAAACAAGTATTTTACAACAAGAGTATTATAAAACGAAATTAGAAATGATGCAGCGTCAGAAGCTACCTGTAACTTATGATGTTCACGAAAATAAAACTTATTATAACTTATAAATATTCTTTAGTCAGTAAAACTATTTATTATAATACTCAAGTTTCCTCTTATTTGTTGACTTAGTTGGAGGAGAGGAAGTTCGACATTCTCATGATTTCCTTCATCTTCATGTGCGTCTTAGTCAACTAACTCAAAGTCAGGATCGCCCAAGCTCTTCGCAACATTATGGAGTACAATACAAGCAATAATTATTTTCGGCACATTTTCCAACTTTACGCGTCAAACACACTCCAGGATAGGAAACCTGCGTTTCACTTGGCCGAAACAGTGTTCAATTATAACTCTTTCTTGTTTTGAAAGTCTATTATAATTTATTTCTGCACCTTGAGTACAACATTTGTTATTTATTAGTTGTGATCTAGTCTGTGAATTTCACCATATTCTGGAATCATGCACTGATCCAGGCCAACTGACGTCAACACTGGTGAACATCTCTCTGGCTTCACAAGTGACTTGCACATTTAAAGTAGGTTTCCATTTTCGGTTGATATACTCATCTCCATGGCGATTTGGTTTCAGGATTCCTATATGTGTACAATCAATTACACCAATTGCTGTCGGAAATTTATACATGCTTTGCCATATCCGCTTGGCCTCCATCAGTTCATGGTTGGTAGCACTGGACAACAAATTTTAGTTTTTTAATTGTATCTTGTGGGAAAAGTGCACTTCTTTGTTAATTTTGGGGCGCTGAATCCAAAAATGACAATGAAATAAAAAAATTAGTTGCGGTTTAGAAAAAAAACTTTTTATTTTTAAGGATATATTAAAAAAAGTAACAAGATTCATATACTTATAAGAATCACTATATGCGCTGTCTTTTTGCTGTTCTTTTATGGATCGGTTCTGGAGCATCTCTACCAAGAGTTCAACAGTAGTCTGCAAGCATGGAAGGATTCCACTTTCGCTGGTACCTTTTTTCCATTGTTGAAATATCCTGATGAAAACGTTCGCTGTGCTCATCACTTACGGCTCCGCAATTGTCAGGAAAAAAGTCCAGGTGTGAGTGTAGGAAATGTATCTTAAGAGACATATTACAGCCCATCTTTTGATACGATGACAGCATATTTTTGACAAGGGTTTTATAGTTGTCAGCTTTTCTATTTCCCAAGAAATTAGTGACCACCAGACGGAAATCATTCCAAGCAGTTTTTTCAATACCTGTTGAAGTGTTTTCAAACTGTGTATCTTTCAAAATGTTTCAAATCTGTGGCCCAACAAAAATACCTTCTTTAACCTTTGCCTCACTTAGTCTTGGAAATTTCTGACGCAGTTATGGAAAAGCTGACCCATCTCTATCTAATGCCTTGACAAAGTTTTTCATTAGGCCCAACTTGATATGCAGTGGTGGTAATAAAATTTTTTTCGAATCTACTAATGGCATATGCTGTACATTTTTTTGACCTGGCTCTAGGAATTGACTAACAGGCCAGTTTTGTCTGGTGTAATGAAGTGCCTTTGCCCGACTGTCCCATTCACACAAAAAACAGCAAAACTTTGTGTAGCCTAGCTGCAGCCCAAGTAAAAGTGCAACAACTTTCAAATCGCCACAAATATGCCATTGGTGCTCATCGTATTTTATGCATGTCAATAGGTACTTCATATTGTCATATGATTCTTTCATGTGAACTGCATACCCTACAGGAAGAGATGGTAAAATATTTCCAATATGCAATAACACTGCCTTTAAACTCAATGTTGAACTGTCTATAAACAATCTCCATTCTTCTGGGTTATAGTTTATATTTAAAGCCGCCAGTAAGCCGTTAATGTTACTGCAGAAAACCAAGTTATTCTCCATATTGAAAAATGGTTCTAAGTCTTTGTGGCGTTTACGAAAAACACATACCGAAACATCGTCTTCTAACAAGTTCCACTGCTGCAGTCTTGATCCAAGTAACTCTGTCTTACATTTTGGAAGTTCTAAATCTCTTACAAGATCATTTAATTCTGACTGTGTTATTTTGTGCGGTTGGTGGCATGACGTGCTCGGTATAAAATCAGGATCTCTTGACGTTGATGGCATATCTTCTTCCTGACGAATCACTCGATCGCCATGATCTGATTCGTTTTCTGATTCGCAAGTGTAGGATTCTGGGGGTTTTGGAATAGGATTTTCGTCACTGTGAGGCACAGGTCTCATCACAGATGGTATGTTTGAGTAGTTAATAACCGATTTTTTTTTCTTGGACATACCTGTGGCTTGTCCAACACAAGGTACCATGCAAAAGTAACAATCATTAATATGATTTGTAAGCTCTCTCCAAACCATTGGGACAGCAAAACGCATAGACCGTTTTTTGCCATTTAACCAGCTCCTCAGACTTGAAGCACATGTATTACAGCAGATGTGGGGTGCCCACTGTTTGTCTTGATCACCTAGTTTGCAACCGAAATAAAGCTGATATGCCTTTGTTATTAGTGGAGTAATAGACCGTCTCTGAGACGCAAAAGTCACATCACCACACATGTAACAAAACTAATCTGGATTGTTTACACACTTTCGAGACATCTTGCATGAACGCTGTCAGCCAACTGAGGAAAAAATGGCTAATATAAAACAATATAATGTACACGTATATATAACATAACACAATCATGCCGATTACATCATCTTTCCTTGCCGAATATAAAAATGTAGCACGTGCATTCTTGTGAATTACAGTATATTAACACTGTCACAGCAGGAACACATATAATTACCGTATCTCTAAAACTTGAACTAATATTGAAAAAATAAGTTTCATTCCGGTTTTAGCACATTAAAAATAGTAATATTTTGTTGATTTTATTTAGGATATTTTTTGGCTGTTCATCAGTGATAGTTGGAAACTGGATCCATTCGTTCGATTGTGCAACTATGCTGTTCACAACTCTATCCGTAGTTCGAGATACCGTTGCTTGACTAACACCAAGTTCCTGACCAATTCCTTGTTGATATCCAGGGTCACCGAGATAGCGTAGATATATTTTCATTTTATGAATGCATGAAAATGATCCTCCTAGAGTTTCCTTATTCTCAACTAAAAATCTGTCCGCAAGCGATTGTACATTTGCTTCGTCGAACCGATCCAATTTTTTGAAGTCACGACCAAGTAAGCGTAAACGAGGTTTGTACGTTTTAACATCCCTAACATCCACAATTTCCGCCATCATCGTTTGACAACCTGTCGTTACGAAGTTGAGTCTGCTACTGACCACACAGAATTTTTGAAGCATATGCTTCCTATGCCAAGTATAAGGTGACGATTATGAATATCCTTTTACTTATGTCACTGCTTTGAAGGATATGCTTATACTCAAAAAGCAAAAGCATTTACTTCAAATTATTATAAATACCATTGTTTTATGAATACGTCTCAATGTAGTGATAGTGATTCTGAAACTTTAGTCAATATATACACCGAAATACATATTTAATTGATTCAACATTTTCGATTATTTCACCATTTATCCTAACTGTGATAGTATCTTCGTTTAGGTATTTCCCTATTAGCATACATTTTGTTTTAGAAGCATTTAGTTTTAGTTTATTTATATCAAACCAATTTCTGGTTTTTACATAGTCAGAATTAATCATTTTTAAAGCAGTGTCTATATTTTCATCTGATATGTATATTAATGTATAAAATAAATAGTAGTGTATACTTTATCTGAAGTCACTTGAAACACTGTGAAATACCGGGTGCGTTTTATATATCTATATTTAATACGCTCTGTTGCTGCAAAAATCGCCAAATTTCGCAGCAAATATCCCCCGTATAAGATCAAAGGCAGTTTCACCGGTCCACGTGGAGTAAAGCACGCCTATGCGTGGACATAGCCAATGAGAAAGCGTGTATTTCAGAGCTCCGAACAAGTGCAGGTGGCTACTGAAAATTGAAACAGTTTAGCCAGTGCCGTGTAACGGTGAATAAACGTGTTTTCTTTAGTCTGTCCGTGTTTTTTCATAGATTTTGTTAGTTTGTGTGTTTTTGACTTTTGTATACTCACTTTACTTGTTGATTTAATTGTTGTGTTGATTGTTCTTGTGTGTCCTAAATATGGCTCTTTGGAGACCTTGGGAAAATGATCCAAGCCACGAGGAGATGGTTGATGAACCTGTGCAGGAAGAATTCTTTCATAAAGATTTAGAGGAACAGATCCAAAGAGTAATCCTAAATATGTATGATTGTCTGAAAAACGAAAATCCAGATTCCTCGCAAAATCAAATTTTAAACAGAATTTGTATCCTGACAAAAATCAGTCGGTCTACCATTTATCGGGTTATAAAAAGGGGAGATGTAGTCAACCATTCCTTCCACAGAAAGCGCATAGGGCAAAAATTAAAAAGAATAGACGTGGGTTTTCACGAAGATATTCGTCGTATAATATACGGATTTTATAAAGAAAATTTGGTGCCCACGTTGGAAATGATACGGGATAAATTAAAAGATTATCCTGAAGATTTTTATAATTACAAATGCTTAGACTCACTGCACTGTATTGTAAAACTGTGTGGTTTTCAATACAAAAAATTAGATAAAAGAATGGTGATTATGGAGTCGTCTCGAATCGTTGAATTGCGCCAAGAATTTTTGCACAAAGTTAAAATCTATAGAGAGCAGAAAAGAAATCTGATTTACCTGGATGAAACGTGGTATGATACCCATGATGTTGTGCAGTACGGCTGGGTTGACAACAGCAACAAGTGCATTTTAAATGCACCATGCAACCGTGGAAAACGAATCATTATTCTCCATGCTGGCAGTGAAAATGGATTTATACCTAATGCCTTGCTGTTATCTGCCAAAAACATCAAAGAATCATGTGCCGACTATCATGAGGACATGACCTCCGATTTATTTGAAAAGTGGATAGAGCAGCAGTTAATACCAAAACTTTACCCAAATTCAGTGATTATTATGGACAATGCGCCATACCATTCCCGACAGAAAAACAAAATTCCGAATACAGGCACAAAAAAACAAGACATTATTGATTTTATGAAGGATAAGGGAATGGAAATACCACAAAAATCAACCAAAGCCATATTATTGGATCTTATTAAAAGACAAAAATTTGAAAAAGAGTATGTTGTTGACAATCTCCTTCAGCAAAATGGCCATGAAGTATTACGTCTACCTACCTATTACTGCATTGTTAACCCGATTGAGTTGGTCTGGACTGCTTTAAAAAAAAAGGTAAGAAAACATAATCAGACCCCTCAATAAGTGAATCGCTATTGGCCACAATAAGAGATGCAGTATCTCATATTGCTGCCACAGACCTATGGAAGCAGTGTTCTAGGCATATTATTGAAAAAGAAAATGAATATTGTGTTTTGCCTCCTGTAAATCCCGTTGTAATTCCTCTACAAGATGACTCTAGCGACAGCTCCGAAGGCGAGGATGATATATAAATACCTATAATGTAAGTGTTTATATACCTTTTTATATACCTACCTGCTATGTAAATATTTGCCTATGTCAAACGTTGGAATTCTGTAATTTTTCCATTTCTTAACTTTCAGTCAACATAAATTAAACTCCCAATATAAGTATTTTTTATCCCAAATCAAAAAAATAAGAAGATAGTAAAATCCATTTATTGTGATATAAAAACATTATTATTATCGTTCTAAATAAATGACCGCACGCCTATGATACGTCATGAAATTACAAAGGACGCGTCGACCAAAGGTTTTTATGGTATTTCAAGTGACTTCAGATAAAGTATACCTAGTTTACTACCTTGTGGTACACCAACAGAAATATTTTTTGAGCTTGATAATCTAGATCCAATTTTGCTTTTTTGACTTCTGTCAATTAAGTAGTTTGGTAGAATTTTGAATACAGATCCAGACTATTCATCAGTCTCAAGCAATGGGGAAGCGATATCTGCCGCAGAAGAGTAGCTTTTACTAATCGGACTCAATTTTTCCCAGAAAGCTATTGAAAAGCTGGAATACCAATTGAACAAGTACACTGATATTAAAATAAAAAAAATATAAACTAAACGTAACTTCATTACAAAGGAATCAGAGCCGTAGCATGGGAATCCATCCTTGTATGTATGTGGTTCGCCAGACAAACATCAAAAGCTTTGAGTACCTCATTTACGAAAACATTATTTTAGACACTCGAACGTGCGTATATATTCGACAAGGATTGTTAATTACAGTATGTCAACATGATAAACCTAAATCTGTGCTCATCAACTTCATTATTACACACTAATCCCATCATTGATTTTTCGATAATGCCGTACGTTGAGTCTTTTTTCGGCGAGTTCTTCGAATCGACATATTGTGTAATACAACGTTAGAAGTATGGGCAGCGTGTATTTGTTCCATGAAGATTATTTGTACAACTGTGAAAATTGCGCTTGTAGACCAGACGGGGCAGATGTCTGGAAGGACCAGCCGACAGTACATGGTAAGAAAGGGGATTCTTTAGATTGTACGAGTATACTCAGCGCAAAGGAAACAGAACTACGGAATAAAACCGCAATTAAAACCAATAGGTCTTCAGATAAACCTTAAGGTTGTAATAAACTCATCTCCAACACAAAAGGGCCCACGCTGATAGCGGTCAATAGAACCAAAAATAAAAAACTTTATTGTGATTTTAAATTTATTTTAAATGCAGGCAGTTTTAACGTAAACTCAAGAGTGTTCATTAAATGTATACATTTACGGTTAATTTACCTTATTGTTAACATAAACGTTAAATAAATATGGTACTTTAAAACTATATACTCATTTGTTATTACATAAACAAAGTTTAAAGATAATAGTAGGTCGACACATTTTTATATGTACCAGGTCTGTAAATTAAGTTATGAGAATGGCAACGTAGCGTACGATCTGGCAACACCTTAGGCGCTGGGCTTGGAGGGCAGACATGGGAACATAAGATCCGCCTTCAGTACAAGTTTGAACTCGCTTGAGTAATTTGACAGAATCTGGAATCTTGTGCGATTAGATCGTCGGTTGACAGTCAAAGTGATCGGGAAGAAGCAATCTCAATAAACGAGTTTTTGGCCAGTAAACACATTCCAGTGGCTCCTCAGCCTCCTGATGCGCCTGGCTTTAGTCCTGGTGACTTTTTTCTCTTTCCGAAGTTGTAAGATTACCTCAAGGGAACTCATTTTGGGATAGTCGAAAACATTCAAACGGCTGTAACCGACCAGCTGAAGGCTATTCCAGGATCGGACTTCCAACACTTCTATGAGGAGTGGAAAAAGAAAGAGAAAGTTATTTTGAGGGGGACAATATAAAATTGTAATTATCCTTGAATAAAAAAAAATCAGTTCCAAGACTTAATTTACAGATCATGTATAACCCATCTTCCAGGGCAAATCTTTCAGTAGCACACCATGCTTTTGAGACAGTGAGATGTTACGAGGGATGTCTTTTAAGTTTAGCATATGGAAATAAAACAAGACGGTAGGTAGTTTTAAATGACTTTATTGTTTTTCGAAGTATTCTCCACGAAGATTAATACACATCTGCATGGCTCGAACCAATTTTCGAAGCACTTATTCCACTTGTTTGCTGGCAGATCCAAAACGGCATTTTTAAATGCGTCAACTGCTTCTTCTGGTGAACCTTTGACCACGCAGTCTGTTTTTAATTTTCGGGAAAGTAAAGAAATCGTTAGGACTTAGATCGTGACTATATGGAGGATGGTCCAATAATTCCGTTAAATACTGCCTTGTTTTTTGGGCTGTGTGCGAGCTTGCATTGTCTTGGTGGAGGATGATTCTTCTTTCGGGGTTGATTTTTCGAAGCTCGGTGATCACTTTTGGCAAACAAATAGTGGTATACCAATCCGTAGTAAGAGTTCTTTGCTCATTAAGAGTAATTGTTGCAATATGACCCGCTTTTGACACAAATGTCGCTGCCATCTTTTTTGAAACACTTCGAGAACGGATGAATTTTGTTGGCTTTTCTTCACCTTGGAACACCCAAACAACCGACTGTCGTTTATTTTCTGGTTCATAACAGTAAATCCACGATTCATCACCACTGACAATGCTGTACACATTTTTTAAGTTTCCGGTCAAGCGTTTTTTGACACCAATTAACCCAGGCTGCTTTCTGCTCTTCAGTCAACAGGTGGGGTATCCAACGAGAAACTAATTTTCTTACTCCTAATTCTTCATGTAAAATTTTTGTGAATTAAGGTCTTTGAGATCTTCAAGGACGCCTCAATCTCGCGATATGTCACATGTCTATCTTCAATGATGAGTTTGCGCACAGCATCGACGTTTTCCTGGGTGACTGCCGTTTTTGGTGCACCCACCCTGGGATCGTCGCTTAAGACTCACCCGTCCACGTTTGAATTCTCCAAATCAACGGGAAATTGTCGACTGATGTGGCGCTTCGTTGCCGAAAACAGACAGTAACTCAGCAAGGCATTCTCGTTGAGATAATTGCGTCTGAAAGTTGTAATAAATTATGGCGCGAAAATGTTCTCGGTTGAGTTCCATTTTTCTAATGACTTGGTGACACTTTACTGTCGTGAGAACACTGCACGTATTGTTGTGAAGCTTTGAATTTAAGTTTACTAAGGCCCGTATCGTCAGTCGTCCCTACAATTGTAGGGCGCCTTTATGGCCTCCTTGATTGTCATAGTTTTCTGCTTCTCCGTGTCAGAACTCTATTTTGAGGTTATGTCACAAACATCTATTTGCATCAAATTGTGCTTGCTTTTGAGTTATATCATGTTTTGTCAGCCTGAAATTTCCTACAATTTAAAGAAAACATATCTTCACAATAGGAGAGCGCTGACGCTGACACGGGAGGAGAGAAAGGAGGATGACAATCAAGGAGGCCATAGACGCGCCCTACAATTGTAGGGACGACTGACGATACAGGCCTAAAGAGTGAGGTGAAGATTCAGTACCGACGTTCGATCCGCGCGGCCTGCTATGTTTCTATATGCAAAACTTAAAAGACATCCCTCGTACATGTTAAGTTTGACTGGCGTTTTTTTCAGGAACTATATTATATTCTGTTATCACACCCATTATTTGCTGTTTTGGAATTTGTGGAAATTCCATATCGCTGATCGTTCTCCTGAAGAAAGAACTCACCGGATCTGTTTATACATACCTAGCAGGTAAGTGCAATTTTATACATGTACTAAAGGTTTGTTCCAACTAGCTGTTCCGAACTATTTCATAACCAAATGTAAATTATACTTTTCTTTTCCTATAGTCCAGAGTTAGTTCCGAACGATTTTGTTGAAACAGAGAATTACACGCCTTGTTGTCGTAAACATAAGCTTATTTGAAGTGCAATTCAAAATGATCAAGTTTCCACGTGTGATACCTGGAATTTGAGCGAATTTATTGTTTTTCTGAAGTACTGTACATCTTTTTAAAAAAATGTTGAAACGAGATGATAGATTTAAATAAGGGATGAGTAGCTTGGTGAAATATTTGAAAGAAATAGTACGTTGGTTGGAAGAGTTCATCATCATTATGACTTTAGAGGAATCATGGTCTGTATCAGTCGTATAAGAATGTTAACATTAACAACAATAAGCTATTAACTGACTTGAAAGAAATATAAAAGATTAATATTATGACATGACTGAAACAAATTAATGAAAACTAATTTGCCTATGTAATTTTCTGGTTTTGGGAACACCTATAATCAGCAAAAGATCTTCATTTTCACTTAAATCTGTCCCTGCTGCATCAGTGCTTCTTCCAGCGGCAGGCAATTGAAGTGGCGGAGGTTGGTATCGGTAATTCAACATTGAAGGGCAGGGCAGGTATTGGCGATTGAAAATTGAAAATCTTTTTTGAACTAGGATATTTCGGGGAAGTCCGACACCCCACTGGATGCGCCACTGACATAGGAGCTGAGAATTTTCGAGGCGTGTTACGTATTTTCATTCATATTGACCGGACCATTTCCTCAATCTCGTCGAAACTGACTGCCTATATTTTCCGAGTAAACAGCAAATCGCTGAAGACGGTGCGCCGTACAGATTTTGAGGTAAAAGTTAATATCCGTTTAAGCGAGAATTTGCGCCTTTGCGGTTGATAGCGTAATTGGCAGCACTGGAAACGTCTCCGATAATTTTGCATCCGCCTTTTCCGATTTTCCTCTTGCCAATTAGATTTTTTATTCTGCTTGTTAAGCAAATTGAGACGCTTGAGGTCTATTGGCGAAAATGTTTCAGGGCTTCTCGAGCATTATGAAGTTCACAAACATGTTTGTGAGAGTTATAACATGGAAATAAGATAAATATAGCTTTGGAAATCTCATGTATAGTATTCTTAATCCAAACACCAGGGTCCTCAAGAAATTGGAGAATCTTATACAGGGTGTCCCAATATTCAGTGGATATAGGAGTACCACGTATTTTAGAGTCAAAATAAGTCGATTGGAGATGCAAAAGTGAGTTTGTCCGTTAGAGGGCGTCAAATTTTTCCTTTCAAAACACATTTTTTCAGATATTTTAAGAGAACTGATAGTTTGAGTCGAATGAAATTTGGAAAATATATGTTTTGCTAGGCAAACTAATATTTGACTTTCAAGAAAAACTCTGAAGGATTGTAGAAGGGTGAAAACTACCCCCACCCCTACATAAATTATAGCAAAATTTTTGGCAACTTTTTCGACGAATCCGACGTTTCTTGGGACACCCGGTATAATTAAAGATGAATCGCAACTTCTAGGCTTTGTATAAACATTCTACAGCGGACCAACTGTATCGCGATCGTGACGGCAGTAATCACGTCTGTGAACCCGTTAACGGATTTTAATTTCACAAATTGCAATATATCTTTCTAGTGTTAGCAGCAATGGACTTACTGATGTCAATAAGCTTATTTTTGGGTGGCCTAAGCAGAGGGTTTCTTTTCTACAAAGGATGGGCAACCTATGATGCACTGATCGGGCTGCCAGTATGTGGTGCCATCGGTACCTTGAGCATTATGGCTACTGTTGGAGTTACCATAGGTATTTATTTAGCTGTTTTTATACAGGGTGACTTCGAAGTTGAGTCATTTATTTTAACAGTGAATAGATCTGATCAAAAGAAATGTTTTTTTCCTTTACCATTTTTCTGGTAAAATTAAAGTAACAAAGTTATAGCCCTTTGGAAGTTTGAGTACCGCCCTGTCTCAATATCATGTGCTCGGGTTTGGCAACAACGGATATAATCCGCCTTACCGGTTCATCGCATCGGAAACAAAAAAGCGAAAGAATTTGGAACGATGTTTGTGTACAGTTTATTATTTTATTCAGTTCAGTTATACATACAGTCAGTGTCAGTGTCGCGTGTGAATAGTGTCTGTTGCGTGGCTCAAACGAAATAAAAAATGGCACATGTTTATGCGGATCGGTTTCCCAATCGAGTGCAACCAACCCCTCATGCCTTTGTTAATGTAGTACAACGGGCTCGTGAATCAGGTGACTTAAGACCTCACAGGGGACCTCACGATCAAATACAGGTCCGCACTGAAATACTTGTCGGGAGGATACTTTATAAAACAAGGTAAACATTTTTTTTTAATTTTTTTTTATTTTTACACACATATTTTGGTTTATCTTCCTTCTACAATCATTATCTTTAAATTAATGACTCAACTTCAAAGTCACCCTGTATAGAGCTATTGATTAACATATTGACCAAGAAGCTGCCCAATCCGCTGAAGTATTTAGCATGTTGCCAAAAGTTGTATCGTAGTGAATTTTTTTTTATCAGTTATTACTCAAAGTTCTTTTTATTAACAATATTGATTATTCTCAAACATAACATCAGCCTTCCTACGAAATATCACACCTCAACCTCTTACATGAATATTTTTAAGGCTTTGTATTCTTAGAATTTTTCAACAACGGAAAAAGAACGGTTAAATTGGGTATTTCTGGTGGCATATGATAATCAATCGCAATAGCCAATTTTTATCGACATTATTTTCAGATAGAGTATTGTATCTGTGGAACCCGCTTTGTTGTAAGAAGCCAAAATTCTGTGATCCCAAAATAGCACGAAGAATAATGTTGCTTGGCTTTATTTTATCAATACTTTTGAATCTTCCATATTGTTTCATATTTTATTGGGATGGAACCACATTGGCGACGACGCCATTTTTCGATTCCAAGTGAGTCATTATTTCTACAATCAAAATTGACTGCACTATATGTCCCATTTTAGGATACGTAGGGTAAATGTGCCAGTAACCCGCACGGGTATCATGTAAAAAACCTATAAAACGTCAAAAAAAAAACCTATAAGATGTCAACTTGCAGACTAGGTAGTTTTTAGGGCGCAAACAGTCATTCCACGTTTGCTCACTAGGATCGTTGTGAACGTCCATCTATGGGGGAATAACTCAACTAAACTACGCATTATTGGTTGCATAGTTTTGTGAGGCTGAGTGATCCGAGTCTGTAGTTTTTATCTCTGAGAAGAAAGTTCGTTGAATAGCAAGATCGTATCTGGATGATTATGTGTATTGGTCTGCATGTGTATAAAATCAGTGATATTTGCTGTGTGAGATAATCAGTACTGAATATGCCGAATATGACGGGTTATTTATATGTTGTGCTTTCTGAAGAGAGGTTATGTTCAAAGTTATAAATTACGAAAAACTGAGGAGAATTACGGGAAATCATCAACGCGCCCGCGTTGTGTGTAATTACTGTTGTATGTACATACTTGTATATGGCTTGTAATTCGACAGTGTACAGTGGTTATAATTATTTCTTATCTCTTTTTTTGAAATTCAGCAAATTTGTGTATGTACTTTCCAGAATGGATAAGAAAAAGTGGATGCGCAACTAATTTCTAGCTTTGAATCCCAATTAAGTGTATTTGAGAGAAGAACCCAATGTAATTATCATCAACACATACAACTTACAGCTTGGAACTCCAGTAATGCCATCTCAGAAGCAGATTTTATATCACATCAAAGCCAAAGATGCATAACAAGCCTAATGACGTTTAGGCAACATGTACAACTAAGTGCTAAGTTAACATATTGTAGAATAACCTACAGAATGTCAAAAAAACAGCATAATGTAAAAAAAAATCGGCATAATGTCAGTTTTCAAGATACGTGATACCCGTGCCGGATACTACCAGTAGTCGAAAAAATTTATTATTGGTAAAAACTTGAATATTTGAAATCCTATAGGTACTTGCTGGTAATTGGTACCAGATTTATGTGTATTGAGTGACATAATGTCAATATATAAATACTGTTCGTGTTACATATGCAGAAGACATTCAAATTATACAAAATAAGTTAAGCTTAATACGTTATTTTAACATTTTGAGGTTACATCCGAATGGCCACTGACTTGGATCATCATACTAGTCAAAATTCAATGGCGTGGTCGTTTTTAATCTATGTCTCTTTAAAAATAGAAACTATCAAACTTTTCTCTTGGAATTAAACAAACCAAAATACGACTGAAGCCCCACCTAGTGAGTGAACAGCAAAAGATAACAAATAATGTGGATTATGGCCAGTGATGTTGTGTCCGACTACTGGAATGGACGAATTTTTATAGAATCCCAGTAACCGGCCACTTCCATTTTACTCAATATGAGTCTGTTTAGTTGTTTTTCCTCAAATTCTTAATGACAGCTGATTTGAAATTTCTAATCTATCACAAATTTTTAAATACGGTTCTGTCTAATACTGGTCAATCAACTGCTGTCCGAAAATGGAAACCAGCCGGCCGACTAGTAGCACATTCTGCCCGAGTATTTGCAAAATAGCACCTTTTCGATTAATATTTTTTCATAAAATTACAGGAATATCTGTAAACAATGTATTTGTTGCCAGCGTTAAGTTAACAACATATAATATGATCTCCTCCAACAATATATAAAAGTACCTACAACCCATGACTGCTCTTAAAACAATATTGTGATATATGAAACGGATGATACATCCAAGTTCTGTTCTTGATAAACTTATCGAATAATTCAAGCAACAGCCGCTTAAGCTGATGTGCTATATGGAGATTGTTACTCATCGCCTCCGTGGCGCAATTGGCTAGCGCGTTCGGCTGTTAACCGAAAGGTTGGTGGTTCGAGCCCACCCGGGGGCGATTTTTTTTTATTTATTCAGAACACAACTTGCCTTTAAATTACAGCAAAATTAATCGCTTATTGTAAAAAGTTTTAAAGTGATTTTGAGCTTTTAAATTTTGAATGAAAGAGCCCGAAAAGCTGTTCTGGATTTACGTTGTCTTGCACTTTTAGGACTTTTCCCCTGTTCCTCCTCCAAGCCCGGCGCTTCCAGTGTTGCCAGATCGAACGCGACGCTGCCAGTCTCATCACTTAATTTACAGACCTCGTTTAATGAAAGTTTGGATTGAATTATTTAGGCCCCTGCTAGAGCTGTCAAGTACATATTATGTAGTAAATTATCATAGGAATAAAGACGAACAGAAAGAAAACAACTAATTTGTTCTTCTTCCAGATTCTATGAGTTTTTTAATTGGTTCATGCTAGTATGCTTTGTCTTTGTACCGGCGATTATTTTGATATTTGGAAACGGATTTTTAATCGCCTCATTGAGAAGAGTCAAGGCGATCACCAGCAAAGTTGGAAAACGAAAGGTAATTTATTAGGTGGTTAGAAATGAATCACGTCATGCAGGTTGAATCTGTACTCAAAATTTTGTCCTACGAAGTCCTTTACGTTTTCTATGACATGATTTTAAAAAATTCATTCCAAGATAAATCGGATGCGTAAGAAGCCTTAACATTTTTTGACGATCATATCCAAACTCAGCGGCCCAAATTATCTAAGTTTCATCTACTTGTTACAACGGGATACCCAAATAGAAATTTTACCCTACAAAGTACCTTGCTTTCAAAGATTTTATTTCGCACTTCCGTTGTCCTACACAATTTTTGAGATCACGATAAGATAAAGTGAAGGCGATTGAAGATGCCAATCATCAATCGAAACGTCGTGATACCAAAAACTTTTGAAGTATATACATTGTCTACAAATCATAAAAATCTTTAACATGATTTTTTTTATCATAGTATATTTATACGCTCCCAACCCCGGCAATTCTATGTACTTATTCGCCATATTTCACACATCATAGATTTGCCTTTGAAACGATAGAAATGTTGTAAAATCTGAATAAATAAACAAATTTTCACTATCCCAAGATTGTCACAATAGTAACTGACAGCAAATTAAATTCTTTCTTTCCCTTAGCAACAAATAACTAAACAGGTATAACAATAAATATAGTTTGCCCAGGTTAAAGCATCCCACAAACCGGCGCGAAATATTCGCTTTGGCTGCGAAAATTTCGCGGCGATGAATTCGCGATCAGATTAAAACGCGGCGGTTTACGGACAGGCTCAGACTTGTGCGAAGCGAATGCGATTGTTCCAGCGTTTTTATCGCGGCGTATTTCAGTTCGCCTTTGACCGCGTTTTTGACGCCGTTCTTCAAAAATTCGCACTGGCAAAAACGGAATTATTGATAGAAATAGTGAAAAAGTATCCTTGTTTGTATGATTTGTCGAACGATGAATACGGGAATGTGAGAAAGAAAGACAAGATTTGGATGGAAATAGGAAAAGAATTAAATACAAATGGTATGTACCTAATATTTTTTATTAACTTGTTAAATAATTTACAGTCTACACAAATGTGAAAACGAACATTCTATATATTGGGCATAGGCATATCAGAATTAAAATAATTTACGAATTTGTCACGAGTAGAAAATGCTGGCATTGCTGCCCGCCGAGGATCATTTGCTATATCAGTAAAAGCTCCAAGCACGGGTTCTGGGGGATCTAAGAATTGAAAATATTTGTCATCGCCACTTTTACTTCGTAAAAAATTGTGTAAAACACGTACGTACAATAAGAATAGTAGTATCTACTTTAGTTTCTAATGGCCTGTAAAATATTCGCCATTTTTGAGACAAAATACCAAAAGCATATTCCACGACCCTTCTAGCTCGACAAGGTCTTACATTGTATTTCTCTTTTCTGACGTCTGTTAAAGTCTGCTTATAAGGAAATGGTCTCATAAGGCATGGTTTTAAAGCAAATGCTTCATCACCAATTAAGACGTACGAGCAGATTTCATTTTGCCCAGGGAGAAATCTAGGTGCAGGGACACTCATTAAATTTTGTTCAAATCGTTTTCCCATGTTTGAGGTTTCGAAAATACCCCCATCACTATTTTTTCCGAAACCACCAATATCAACACATATAAATTTATAGTCCGGGCCAACAATGGCCATAAGTACTATTGAATATTTATGTAAATAGCACCAGTAATTGGAGCCACTGTTGTTAGGTCTCTTGATTGTTACATGTTTACCGTCCACGCTGCCAATGCAATTGGGAAATCCCCATCTACTTTCAAATTCTTCAGCACATTTTTTCCATATACTCTCTGTTGGTTCTGGTAAATATATATGCTCCATATGTCTGCATATCGCTTCACAGACTTCGGTTACGATTGCACTCACTGTTGTAAAGCCAACTCGAAAGCTATGCCCAATGGTATAGAAGGTGTCACCAGTGGCAAGGAATCTATAAAAAAAATTGTTTTTAGGTGATGAAGTAAAAAAAAGGTGGAAGAATATCAGACACATTTGCAAAATATATAAAATCTACCAAACCAAAGACCGGTCAAGCAGTGGGCAACATAAAGAAATGGCAGTGGGCTGACTACATGGAATTTTTCCGTCCTTTTTTGGCATTTGCCAAAACGTCGTCTAATGTGAAAGATATTGACGTCATACATTATGAGACTAACGAATTTAACTCAAATATATATCAGGAAAGGGCTGGAAATGTAGAAACCGAAAATTTGGAAGACCCATGGAGAAGATGAAAATGCTGATGTAGATGCAGAAGATGCACAGAACGCTTCGACAACACAGACAGCACCACCTTCTTCATTGAACACTACAGCAGTGACTACTCCAGGGCACACCTTTCCGCAGACTGCAACTACACCAAAATATAAAACGAGCAGAAAACGCTATGAACCACCATCTTCGTCTGTACAACAGCTCATTGATTATTTTGAAGGTAAAAAACCTAAAAAAGAGAACGAGGCCATTGATTCACTTTTCTTGGCACATGCACAGACTGTGAAAACACTTCCCTTAAAGCGTCAAGCCCAAATAAAACTAAAAATAGCCGAATTAATAGCGCACGAAGAATTTGAACATACTGAAGAAATGTCTTCAGCGTCTACCCAGAATTCTGCAAGTATGTATGATAGTAGTATGTCGTCCTTCCCAAGCGGCACGGGTTTACTCCAATAATATACCCAACAGAGGAGGCAAATTCTGCCTCGAATTATTTAGCAACATTTAATCCTAGTGGCAACATGTAGTCCAATTATTACAATAAAATATTTATTTCACGATCCCTGAAGTTTTCGTATTCGATAAGCCTACTAATTTTAATACATATAATTTTTTTACCTGAGTGTAATAGCAAGTCGTTCTTCTGGCGAAATAGCTTCACGATAATTTGTGTCAGATTTTCGTATTTCATCTTTCACCAAGTTCAATATTTCATCGAGACACTCTGGAGTCATTCTAAAATATACGTAAAAGCGCTGTTCATCCAACCGAAGTTGTGGCATCAAGGTATGGTATTCCCCAAATTTATTTCGTTCCAAGTTAATATCATGTACCCACTTCCTTCGTTTCCTAAACAAAATTGAAAATATTTGTTTTATGTACTTCGTTAAACTTAATACATACCCAACTATCAAATGGCGTTAAATAAACATAACTTACCGTGCATTTTGTTCCTCTTCTAAAGCAAGAAATAGAAGTGCCTCCTCTTCTTCTGAAGACGAGCTCATTGCAAAAGGCAAAAATAAAATGTACGCAACCTGTCGAAACCTTCACGTTCGCGGAGCGAATAAGACGCTTTGGTATGAATAAACAGGCGAAACAGATTGCGAATTTCGCTCTGAATTTCGTTGCGAATAGTTCGCCGCGATTATTTCGCGCCGGTTTGTGGGGTGCTTTACTGTGTTGATGAAAAGATTGCGGAAATTCGGGTTGTTATTTGGTTGTTGCCATATCTAATCTTCCGAATTGCTGTGTACGTTGGTAGATTCCGGTTTAAATTATAAACGAATTGTAGATTTGGCAAACCCTAACGGGGAACATTTTGAACACTTATTGAAATGAAAAGCGATATTTTCATGTGTTTTTGTTTCCTACCTGAACAAATTAAGGTAAATAAAGAATTTTCTAATTTTCTTGAAACGAATCGACCTATTCTAAAAAAGTCAAAACAAAGGAATTCGAAAGACCTTTCAAACAAGCTACCTATTACTCAATACCGCTCGTCATTTAAAATTTTCAAGCGGATGAACCTTGGGGGGCAGAGGGTGAAAGGGGGTGAAGTAGTTTTTGGTTGAAAAGTTGTCGCCCTTGACAAATCTTTTGACGTGTCTCGGCGCTTTTGCTTTTAATCAGTGGTTTTTGATGAATCCGTGGTGGGAAGTTTTCAAATGAACACCCTGTATGTGTTTTTGCTGAAACGCAAAAACGTACGGAGCTTCCATGGAATGAAAGATAACTTACTCTACCGATGCAGTGCAAATAATGTGTAAAGAGACCACGTTGCCACACGGCCAGTAACTATCAGTAGAAAGAATGTATTGTATGGGCCTGTTTGACTGACTTGACACGTTTAACTACTCTGTTATGTATGCTCGTAACTCATTTTTTGTCTCAAAGGATTTAAATGCTGAATTTAATCCTTTATGAACTGATGACGGTGATGCGTAGGAAGTGCAAAGTCAACCCACTTGATGCCAAGTGTACTAATAGCGGAAATAGAAATTTTGTTCTACAAACTCCTATACACAATCTGAATCCCAAGTTATCACAACTATATTTTTTTGAACATAAATTTCGATTTCTTTTATTTCGTCCGATTTTTTTATCTTATTCTTTTGATGCATATTCCCTTTCCAGGATCACACTCACTTGACCATAACCCTTATCTCAATCATAGTCCTATTCCTTATTTCCGAAGTCCCCTCTTCCTTAGTTTGCAGAACGAGAGCCGTCAGCATTCTATTCTCAGGCGACCACAACAAAGCAAAATCCACCGCCTTGGAGGTGATCCGGCAACTATGCACGATATTGGGAGCTGTCAACGTCACTGTCAACTTTTTCTTTTACTATCTGTTTTGTCCGGCCTTTTGCAACGCCTTGGTCAAGGGCTTGAGGAACAGGACAGTGAAAATGAAGAAAGATATGCACGTGAATGTGTTTGTCGTAAATAGCAAAGCTACAAAGCTTACCAAGGTATGGCATTAGTAATGTTCTAGCTAGCATCACATTTTCAACAGTTTGACATGGTCTGAGCGTGCGCAGTGGAGAAAACATGTTGAAGAAAGAGTAAAACCTGGTTCGGCAAACCAATTTTTGGTTTCGGATGGTCACACATGATTTTGGCGGGAGTTGAAGTTTCTGACTTACGCAGATGCACAAGATCTTGTTTTGTTATGGCTGCCTTATGGTTTGAGGTTATGGTTTTTGAATTATGTTGGAGAGTTTGCGTCTTTTTTAGTTTCTTTGCAACTTTGAATGCTTTGTATCAATTGAAAAGATTGAAGCTAGATAACTGTATTGTGTATACCTGATTGTATTGCATCATAATAGACAAAAAAAAATAAGCATGTAATAAATAACAGTACCTCTTTACAATGGAAGTGAATACATGGGACATTTCAGAGTGACTCGCAAAGTAGCTGAAGATATTTGAACTGAATGAGAACACAACATCTTTTTGTGGTTCGCAGGATATTTCCTTTTGTGGCAGATACGTTTGATATAACGACTAGTTGTTTATTCTACACGATAAGACGTTTAATCAAGTTTAAGGACTTAGTATATCTGGAACTGTAATCCATTGGCCTGACAATGAAGACAGAAACATAGAATATCATCTAAATGTCAAATACGATGCTGTCACTGTCAATTGAAACGTATTTTGACAGAAAAATGTGTTCTAGCAGAATCAAATTTAAAACAGTTTCTTTTTTGACAGTTTGCGCATTGAAGGAGTGTCAAACCGTTGGAAATGTGATGCTAGAACATTCCTGTTGCAAACTAAAATTGCATTGCGTGATTGCCACTTATTTTGGATTTCCCTAAAAGGGGGCGCCTCACTGTTACATACTCACTATTTAGGGTTATTAGGTGAAATAATGTGTTGAATTTATGCTTTATTTTAAAATCATGATAATTTTGAAAAAAATATGAGTCCACCAGAAAGATGGATTTGGTTATCTAAAAAAGATTGCAAATACTCCCAGCTCGAAGAGAAGCCCCCAAATGCCCAAAATTCCAACGAAATTTCCAAAAACAGGTTAACAAAATCAAAAAATTGGCTTCCCGCTCTTTTGTCAGGTTTTTTGTGTCAAAAAAGGTTCTTATGAACTTTCCTTTAAAGTTGATAGCTAACGAGATATTAAAGTTGATAGTTTGCGAGATATTTGCGATTGAATATCCTGGAAAGTGCCAAATATTTCGTTTCGAACCCCGAAAAACAATATTAAAAAAAGAAGATGTTTTTTTAACAAAATCTCTCAAATCTTTTTAGGGGCTATTGCTATTGTAAACCTTTGTTATTTAATTTTTCATCAAACACGAGCTCATGATTCCTTATAGTTATACATATTTGCTTATTTTCACAATTTGTTTTTAGGTATTGGATACAGAAGCGGCTCGTGAGTATTTCGCAAAAAACGGAAATCTAGAGACTGACTCTGATTCCGTTGAAGTGTGTGAACAGGTCAGCAAATGTAATGATAAACAAGACAGGAAAACTTGCGATGTATGTTTTATTGATTCTAGCAGGAATGTTTATGACTTCATTTATAATTAGCATATCGTTGAAGTTAGTTTTGTTTCTCAATCTATATAAAATAGAAGCAATGGAAACTTACAAGTTTGAGTGTATTGTATAATAATAGGGTAATAAATACGAAGTATAATGTCTGAAAATGGAGTATTTTTCTAAGAGTGCTCACCCACTAGTAATAGAGTGCATAAAATCGAACCCCCATATTGATTTTATGAAATATAAAAAAAAAGCTGAACGTGTGTTTTGAAAAAGTGTAACAATTACTTTTGTAAAACGATGATATAACGATAAAGGTGAAAACAATAAACCCGCCATACCGTACCACCCTATACCAGGCTAGATTTAAGAAGCGACCGCTATAGATACCCATTTGCGTGTAAATAACGCCAGTGAAAGCTTACACCCAGTGTACAAGTGCCCAGAGGAACGGAATGTAAAACATAAGCAGGCCTAACGGCGGTCGTGTTGAGTGACATTAACCAGACTTGTCAACCGTCTATACTACAACTATTTAAAACTGTAATGACTCATACGCGTGATCAACACGTGATCAGAGCTCGATCCCGGCTTCCTTCCAGTACAGCCGTATAGCGTACGACTTATGTCGTTTCTGTGGCTTTGCGGTGGTCAACAGCACAGACAGAGATGGAAATAATGGCTGATTGTTCTCCGCCGGTAGAACCAATGAGATCAAAGACGCGCCTCGACCGGCAGACTCATAGGCGTCGGCAACGCATTGGAACGTGTTTCGTTGAGCGATCGCATATTGTATGTTTTTATAAGAATTCTTGTGTGATTGTTATTGTTGTGGTTTCTGTGGTTACTGTTTTGGTTATACCTAACCATGGAGAGTACAAATGGCACGAGTGGAAGTACTGAAAGCCAGGGAACAAGTAGACGGCTTCGTAAAGCACTGAAGAGGGACGCGAAAGAAATCGTGCTCAACGTGTTCAATTATCTGAACAGAACTATGTCGCAGGGAGATGCACTCGCGCGTTGTGAAAGTATGATAGGCGTTCCAGAGTGGACCATTCGCAGAGTGGTGCATGAACAGAAGAAAACTGGAGCTACTACTGATCCAAAGTTTAATTTGAAGGGACGAAAGGCTGTTAAATTGGGTGACGATAGCAAAATGGCGTTAAGGCGAACCGTACATTCATTCTTCTTTAGGAATGAGATACCAACCCTCAAGGCTGTACATGCAGCGATCAAGGAAAATGAAATTATACCCCAAATGAGCGTCGAGGTAATGAGGAAATCCCTGCACAAAATTAATTTTCGTTACGAAACGAGTAATCGGAAGTCAGTATTGATAGAGAGACCTGAAATAGTCACCTGGCGTCGAAAATACCTACGCGAAATGATTGAATATAGGCGACAAAGCAGAAAAATCAATTATTTGGACGAAACATGGGTAAATGCAGGTCACACAGTTAAAAAAACCTGGATAGACAAAAACGTAGTGAGTAACCGACAAGCAAGCATTGAAGGTTTGTCAACAGGTCTTCGTGGACCGTCAGGGAAAGGTCAAAGATTGATCATAACTCAAATTGGTAGCGATAGTGGCTTTTTAGAAGAGTGTGTCTTGATTTTATAGAAAGCATTCGTGTGCTGCAGTGTTGAACTCGCATGCAAAACGTGTTCGAAATAGTTCGTATGCTTACACTTTGTGATGTGAAGCATCATTTAATATAAATTATAGCCTTATATATATATATATATGCCTAAGCTACTATTTACATTGACAATAACGCATTTTCAGAGACTGGTCATTTTTGTGTACTATTAAAAGGGTGGAGTAGTCTACTATTCCTGTATCCTAAATGAAGACACCTAAAGAGACAGTGTCATTTTCGAAAATTCTGAACACTGAACAAACGTTGCATCGGAATTCAAATTATAAAACAATCTTTGATTCTAGTCTAAGGAATCGCTCCTTGAATTCCCACCTCACCATTCGGAAACACCCTTTATATCTCTTGAATGACTTCGGAAGAGGGATCAAAAATATGTTTACACGTATCTCTGGGGGGGACATATATATTCAGTAGAATTGGGTCAAACGTTCGCTGCGAATAACATCAATTTCGAGGTACTTATCCACTGTACGCTTTCAATTAGTCTGGCTTGTTTACGAAGGACCAGAAAATATATTCTCACTGCCACCAATTTAGAGTCATTCATGTAATATGAAAAATGCATACTGTACAAGTTGTTACACCTTTTATAGTTTATTTTTGTTACCATATCAGTAATAACACACTTGGTTCTTGGAACGTTCCAAAAAGTTGGTCCAGTCTGGCTCTTTTGGTTTGCCTGGCCAAATTTTTACGACTTTTGTTATACCCGTTTCACATTGTCAATAAATCCACGGAGCTGAGTTCGCGTCTTGCGGCGATTAAAGATAACATACTCTCGTTGGACCATATTGTAGCGCTTTTCTGGGTTCTTTTGGGTGTGGATTAAAAGCACTCGATTCCACAAGAAAAAATGCACTAATTTATTTAAAACAAAACACAACCAACTACTATTCGTCATTTGTTTGTCTGAGCGGTCCGTAGGCCTTTGCCCAAAAGTCACTGTCTAATGTACGTTAGTCGAATCTGTCAGTCCTGGTTGCCCATAAACCAGAAAAAGTCAAGGAAAAAGAGAAAGGGAAAGAGCAGAAAAAAGGAGAAGAGCAAAGAAATTAGATGTGCTTAGTTTAAGAGAAAACACCTAGGCTTTTTGACTTGGTACACGGATTAATTTTGAGGTGAACTAAACAAATTTTTGATTCGGTTTTGTTAGAGTGTAATTTTGAGTTTAGTAAAAATTCGTGCTAACTTTTGATTACAGTGCGAGCCGTGTCTGACTACTTATTGACGAATTATTATGTCACGTCATTCACTCAACCGTTCGTCGGCTTATATATTTCGCATCGCATGCACTCATTAGTTCGAGAAAGTTCAGGTGAGCCACACAGCGACAGTCCAGAATCTTCGAGGTCACTACGCGTCGATTTCGAAGGAGACTCCCTGGCGCGGCTCCCAGCAGATGGCGCTAGAGTGCCGAAAGAGAGTCCCTGTAGCGCTTCTCAACAGATGGCGCTGGTAGTACTAATCCTGAATTATATAATATAATTATACAGGGTGTCCGCAAAGTTGGGGTTTTCCTTTACACGACGTGTAGATCTTGAAAACATAAGCAATTTTTCTTAGTACCATATACACCAATGTCTTAAGGAAACCGAGATAAAGGGCTCTGCAACATCAAACATATCTGAATACCGTCCTGTAGCCGCGACATCACCGAGTGGTACAAGGTCACTGGCTCAACCCGACGACAGAACTGGGTCGGGGTCAGTGTGTCAGGTCAGTATGCAACCTTCAACCCACGGTTACGGTCACGCGTGTAGAGGTAAACGAACCCGTATAATCGATTGCGTTTCAAAAAAAAATAATAATAGCACACTCATACACCAATAATGAACTCGTTGATATGTTGTTAATTTATGGCGAATGTCTTCAAAATCCTACAGAGGCTTCGCGAGTGTATGCAGATCGTTTCCCTAGACGACATCATCCATGGCGCCGCAGATTTGTGTACCTGGTCCAGAGAGTCAGGGATACGGGCCATTTGGAGGAATTTCGAGGTGGGCACAGTGGGAGGCCTAGACAACCACGAATGGTGCAAGTTGAGGAAGAACTACTGAATCGCGTAGACGAGAATCCCTCAACAAGCACTAGAGACGTGGCTAGAGAAGAGCAAGTATCAAAAACTAAAGTGTGGCAAACGCTGCGTGAAGAGGGGCTGTATCCGTTTCACGTCCAACGTGTAGAAGCCCTTCAACCTGACGATTTTCCAGCAAGAGTGCGGTTCTGTGAGTGGTTGTTGCATCAACATGACAATAATCCGGACTTTTTGAAGTGCATATTGGTGACAGACGAATCTACGTTCACGCGTAATGGGGTGAATAACTTTCGCAACACTCATGTTTGGTCAGTAGAAAATCCGCACGCTGTTCGTCGGGCACATTTTCAACAAACATTTTCGGTGAATGTTTGGGCTGGCATGGTGAACGGTATGCTCATTGGACCATTTATTCTCCCAAATCTATTGGACGGGATGCAATAACGAGACTTTTTACGCAACATGTTGCCTTCCTTGTTAGAAGATGTGCCATTAAGTGTAAGACAATCAATGTGGTTTCTGCACGATGGTGCATCGCCCCATTTTAGACGCGAAGTACGTGAGTTTTTGAATGAATTATTTTTGTGGCCCCCGCGATCTCCAGACTTAACACCATGTGATTTTTTTCTTTGGGAAGAAATGAAACGCTTAGTGTACAAAACTGAAGTGCATACGGTTGACGAACTTCGTCTCAGAATTGAACAAGCTGGTGCTTTCATTCGGGGGAGGGACTCCATTCTCAAAGCCTGCACCGATGCTTGGCTACGTCGTGCACGCACCTGTGTTTTTGAATCAAACGGCGATAACTTCGAACAATACCTATAAAGTACGTTTACCTAAAAACTGAAAACGCGGCAACGCCGTCATATTTGTTACCTCTGTTCGTGGTCTGCACCACCGCCTGCGTCTGCTCGGTAGCTCATCAGCTGATTTCATTTTCTGTTGGAGCGGTATGATTTCGGGCAGAGACGTACTTAGCCCTTCTCGTCAACTGGAGAGTGAGTACTTTTTCCTTTATTTTTTTTTACTTGGTCGCCCTCGTTTCACTACACATTACCTTTGTTATTTCAAGGGTAGTTGTTTCTGAAAAGGACAACTCCAACTTTGCGGACACCCTGTATATATTAATATACATTTTGACGCAAAATAAATTGGGCTGTGGATTTGGCTACTCTTATATTTGTCTCAATTTGCCTAGCTGATGTCTCAGAGTTCTCAGCAATTGGTTATAAAACACTATTCTGAGTTTCCTCTATGGATTCCTTTTTTAGAGACGTACCAGGCTGCATTCTTTCGAGAAATTTATCAAGATACATTTCTGCGGTATATACAAAATGTGGCACGTCAGTATGTCGAACTTTTGTTCATTGCTAAAATGACCTCCTGTCATTTTTTACGATAATAAAGTATTTACGTCAAGCATTTGTTTGCAACGCCTACTTAAAAAAAATTATACCTTAAAAAACCT